CACAACATTCAGTTCATAAGCCACATAAAGGCACCCAGCGAAGGAAAACATGGGTCTGAGATCCATCCTTGTTGATGGTGATACTGGCAATTTGAAGTTCTCTTGTTTTCTAATTTAAACATCTGTTGAGCTTATACTCTGTTCCACCTGGTTTCTCATCATTTCCCCCAATCTGTTTGTTCAAACATTGGACAATCATCTTCAGAGGGAGATGGGGTGGTAGTTTCTGCAGAACATCTGTGAATAGAATCCTGAGGGACTTTCAGCAGGCTGAGATGGTTGGTTTGTCCCAGAAGAACATGTCAGAGAATAGAAGCTTAGAGAAACTCTGTTAAGACAGCAGTCTTTAAAATGAAAAGTAGGTGGGTAAATATATGAATAAAACTGGATTGAATCCTATACAACCTGGTTGATATGGTCACACAATACTGTCAGGGAAGGGAGGACCACACAGAGGCATAAAAGCATAAGATTTCTAAGTTTAAATAAACAACAAACAAGAGGCCAATTTCTGTCCACTCACCTTAGCATAAAAGTTTTTTAGAAAGACTTTACTCGTTACCACCAAACAAACAATAAATCATCCATCCCACAAGGGTGGGCTTTTATGATGCTCAGACTCTTCCTAGAAATAGGAGGGCTTCTAGAAGGTGGATTCAGCGAACGAGCTGGATTAACTTTTGCTTTGCATCGTGAACAGAGTTGATGTTTCTGTTAGACATCCTAGCACCTCAGCTCTAGGTGGGACTAGGCGTTGTCTACCCTAATGACCTAGCACATCGAAGGCACTGTTAACATTTCTGCATGTGAAATAACTGTTTCTCCTGGTGCTGCCTCTCTTTAGAGGAAAGAGTAGCAGGCTCTTCAGTCAATAGCAGAGGCGTCATCTGCATCTGAATTGAACTCCACTAGGAGTGGAGCATTCTGGGAAATGGCCTCATTGGCCAGGATCCTGTATGTTCCCCCTGAGACTGTAGAGCTGTCATCCCTGGTGTTAGTGTGGAAAGAATCTCAGCCAGAACACCACGTTGAAGGGAAAAGTGCTTTCTTCAGCTTCACACAGGACTATTATTGGCAAAGAATCAGAGAAAACAAAGAGGGACTTGCACATCTCCATGGATTCTTAAACTAAGGGCCTAAAAAAGCATTTTCACCTGTTGTTTCCCAGTAACACAAGGAAGGCGTTGGCAGGCAGCAAAAAATGTCTTGGGCAGCAGTCCAGTTGGCCTCAAAAGGCTATCAAGGAGTCATTTAAAAAGCTCTTTGCACGGACATGTCCAGAATATTGACCAGAAGAGAGAAGAAGCACTCACTGAGCAATTTTCTCTCACATGTTCGAACCTCCCCTCAGCTGTGTGTTTGGCAAGGGTCCCATAGAAATCGCTGCAGAAGCTATCAACATAGCTTTTATGTAGGCATCCTCCATTTTAATAATCCCCAAGTTTCAATAAAAACTTATCTCTTTCCACTTCCACAGATGGCAGGAAGACTAGATGGCAGAATATGCTTTCTACAGACTGCTATTGATTCTTTTTCAGTATGTGCCAAATACAGCAGGAATTCTTAATTATTTTAAAGTATATAACCAGCAGGAAAAAATAATAAATGGAGTACTTGGAAAACTAAACAATAGTTTTGTTATTAAAATAAAAATACAAGCTTGCAATTTTGGGAAGTTTAAATCTTGAAAAGAGCTCTTCCTTCAATTCTTTTTATTCCTAAATGATCCATTTATTCATTCGTTCATTAAAAAAATGACTGAGCGTCAAGTAAGCACCAGGCACTTCGACAAAAGGGATTTAGAATACAGAAGGGAAAGCATAAGAAATAGATTTCATTTATTTATTTTCCTTCCACATAAAATTTATACCTTGAGAATGTCTTCAGGAAGATGCCATTCTTGAGTGCAAAATAGGGGTTAAGAGGAATGTAATTGATAAGTTCAGTTTGCACATGGTTAGTCTTTCCCTTCCCCTTTCCTCACCTTAACTTGCCAGATGTATTCCATTTTCCTTCCAGGGACAGGGAAATAAGGTTGATCCCTCTTGTCTGTGACAGTTGATTACTTATCTTGCTCTGAATCTGCATCTGGGAGATGGATACTTAGTTACGTTCAGCCCGCAAGGAATTCAAGGTTACCTTCATGCTAAACCCCCAAGGGAACACAATATATTGCCTTCAAAATGTCTTAGCTTTCTATTTCAAAATTGTCTTTAATGAAATGTCTAATCACCTCTACTAGATCATTAAGAAAATACTATTATTATGAGGTTGTAAGGGTATTTTCATTGCTTTTTTATCACTTACAACTCCCTGTTAGCTTTCAAAGTGATTTGAGGCTGCTTAAAATAGAAACCATATATGTCATATGGATTTTCAAATAGAAAAACCTGAGGAAGTAGGGGAAGCTTTCGTTTGGTCCCTGTTATTTTTTTCTTAGAAATCACATAAAAAATTCTTCAATGCTAAGGCACAGCAAGCTTTCTTTCTACATTAGCGTTTCTTTCTTAAAGTCCTATTTTCTTGCTCTGTGTTGAAATTGCCCTCATACCAACATTAACTGAGGGTTTATTATGGGCCAGGCACTCTCTAGTACTTCATAAGCATTAGCTTATCTAGCTCCTGAAACACATCCATAAGGGGGATATGACACGAACTTTATTTTAAATATGAGGAAACTAAATTTTGAGCTTAAGTAGCTTGCTTAAAGTCTAGTGAGTGGCAGAGAGAATTCCAGTCTAGGCAGGTCTGATGGTCCCCAGAGTACTTCATCACGAATGAATATTTGTCATATACCATTAGTGGATCATGAGATCAGTTTAGTGGCTTGTAATCCCAAATGTGAGTAAGATAGAATAGCAATGATCAGAGTGTATCCCACAAAGAAAAAGCAAGTTATATTTCAAGAAACTTTATTTTCAGTGTGAGTCTGTTTGTATGCTGAATTGTGACACTAAATACATGTCTGTGAGTTAGTATCATAAAAAATTTCAAAGCTGCTTCACTAAGATATATTGACTCTCACTCATCTATGTTCCAAAGACAGGAGGACTACTAGTTTTTTATAAATCTTCCCTCTACAGAAATGTTTACAAGAAAGGAGAGACTTAAAAATATGTGACTCAGGGACGCCTGGGTGGCTCAGTTGGTTAAGCAGCTGCCTTCGGCTCTGGTCATGATCCCAGCGTCCTGGGATCGAGTCCCACATCGGGCTCCTTGCTCGTCAGGGAGCCTGCTTCTCCCTCTGCCTCTGCCTGTCATTCTGTCTGCCTGTGCTCGCTCTCTCTCCCTCTCTCTCTCTCTCTGACAAATAAATAAATCTTTAAAAAAAAAAAAAATATGTGACTCAGTACTCCTCTCCCTGTGTGAATAGGCTTAACAAGCCAACTCCCAGAGCCATGCAGCAGAATTTCCCTGAAACAGTCAGACCTGACTGGTCTTATGCCAAGCGGCTAATAGTAAATCACTCATCTACCACTGCAACAACAGCAAAAGAAGTATTTTTTGCTTTGGTAAGAACAAAAATCCAATGTGTAGAAAAGCATCCAAGAGCCACCCTCCCCATCTAGGGAAGGTGTAGCAGATGGGGCAGCAGCAGCTTCTGGAGTAGAGTCTGCATTGGTATGTCCAGCTGTCCCCCAGGAGGGCCAGGTTCTCTTTGTGTCTCTGCGTGTATTTATTAAAGGGCAGTGAAAATTAGACAAACTGAGCAAAGACAATACAAAATATCATGTGTTTTCTAAGATGTTAAACTATTTTTTATGAACCTCCTCCCTATGAAAGACAATTTAGTTCTCATATCCTCTCTCCCCATACATTGTGTTATGAAGATATCAATTAAAGCAGGAAGCTGCATTTCAAGGGGCATAAGTTCTCTTCGAGGGTGGATTAAAAATAGTCTCCTTGTGCAGGGAACATAAGAGAGGACAAAAGCTGAATAGTGGCTAGGTTGAATGAGAAAATGAAAAAGGAATAAAAAAGAATGTAATTAACTTTGACAAAATTACTCTGTGGATAGGATGACCAAAAACATTTCAGAAATTTAGATGTAAGAGACATTCTTTGAATTTCGAAAGAGTACTTTCCAGAAAAAAAAGAGATGCTTTCTATAAATACTCTAGTATAATTGTGGAAGTCATGTATTTTTTTTTAAAGGAATGCAAGACAAAACTTCACAAAAATTGACTGAAGGAGAGTGTACACTCAGACATGACTGTGGTTCATTATAACTAATTGAAGGGAGCAAGGGGCATTAGCAAGGTGCTCCTATCCATGCCACTGAAGGTTGGCATCAAGACCAGGAGCTCCCTTGGATTGGTGATATCACACTTTTTAATATAGCAGAAGGACAGAGAACAAACCTTCTATGTCTTTCTAAACTGATGACAGCACTTAACTTCCTTACACCTGAAACATAAAGGAAAATATCACCCATACATAGAGTGGTAGAAGGAATAACTGAGATAAACCACTTGTGCAATTGGCCTGGGACACAGTAAGTTCAGTGAGTGTTACATGTCATTACTTACCATTATATCTCCCTATTCAAATGTAGTTCTAGATTTCTCTCTAATTCACACTTAAACTGTCCTTTTGCATGTATATTTTTATTATGTCACCTCAACTCCTCCTCATAAAGGATTAAAAAGTAAATAAATCCATCTATTTAATTCTGTTAGCTCATGGCTTTACGTTTCTGTTTCCAAGAGTGGACAACTCTTTGATTTCACATGAAAGTAAGACAATTACTTTAGTTTTATTTACTATTGCCTTCCTGAAATTAGTTCAAAATGAACGTTGGTCCCATTGTTGATATAGCTGGGGTTAGATATGACCATGATTGTTTAGAATGTTATAATTAAGAATATTATTCAAAGAAATTGTGTGCTAGGAATAACATCAGACAAACTCCACTTTTAGGGTTCTTAAGAAAATTAAAGGGGATGCCATGAAAAGACTTTAGCCATATTAACAATATTTCTGTCCCCTCTTTTGCATAGATTTTCCACTGACTGAAGGCAGTACAATCACTCCTTTGTGCCAAAAAGGATACTTTCCCTGTGGGAATCTTACCAAGTGCTTACCCCGTGCTTTTCACTGTGATGGTGTGGATGACTGTGGGAATGGGGCTGATGAGGACAACTGTGGTGAGTTCCCCACTCAGCTCCAGATGCCCACTCCCCTTGTGAATGCCCTCAAAGTGTGCTTGGACCAAATAATAATTGTCCTGAAAGGAAAGAGATGATTTGGTATTCTACAGGGAATCCTACTATAACACAAATAATTGTGCCCCAAATTTATTTGTGGTATGACCAGAATTTTCACAGGTAGAAGTTGATTAAATCAGAAATAAAAAAATTGATAAAAATTGAAGTCATATTTTGAAATCTACTTGGATGCCCATATTCTAATTTTAAATGTCTTCTTATAACTACCTCTTTTTGGCTTGGTAATTTGGTTCAGCTACAAGAATACCTCTCATAAAGTGTGAATGGGCTCTGTCTAGAGAATTGATTTATTGAACAGATCTATGTTGAGTCCCCACTATGTGCCAGGGGCTGTTCAACTCACCCAACCAGAGCAGGCTTAAGGGAGAGGAGGTCTTACCCTCAAGGAGTTCACATGGGCAATGTGAACAAGGAGGACAATAAACCTGTACATAAATAAATAAAATGTATTTAAATATTAATATTTATTTAAATACTAAATATTTCAGAGAGTGATAAGTGCCACAAAAATAGAAAACAAAATGATGGAATAGAAAGTGACATGAAGGGAGGGCTATTTTAATGATGCAACCAGAGAAAACCTCTCTGAGATGATAACATTTGAATTGAGAGCCAAACCATAAAAAATTGTAGAGAAACAGAGTTTCAGACCAAAAAAACAGCAAGTGCAAAGGCTCTGAGGCTCAGTGAAATAAGAAAATGTGTTTGTGGGACAGAAAAGCCAGTATGGCTTGAGCAGAGTGAACAAGGATATAGAGGGTGAGGAGGTGACAGAGGCCAGATCACCAAAAGTCCTACAGGCCATTTCAGGTCTGTATGTTGGGAATGTATATATTGTCTAATATAATATTATTTTTACTTGAAGAAGTATATTTTTACTTGAAGAAGCTGATGCCAAGTTGACATGTCTAGTTAATGAGATAATGAGCGAGTAGGCACTAGAACACAGACCTCCACAATTTAAAAAATCCTGTGTGTCTTCTACTGCACAGAACTGCCATTCCTTGGCATTGCCCAACTAGCAATCAAAGTGAGACAACAACGTCCAGAAAAGCCAGGTGTCTGTCTCTAGAATCTGCTTTCCTGCCCTTGAGTATTCATGCATGCTTCCCACTCATGGAACCTACCATCCTCACCTTCTGTGGATCATTCATGCTCCTCTTTGGGATGCAGTTCATGTCCCGTTTTCACCCGAGAGACTTGGCTTCCCTGGCCCCAATTCCCCACCCTGAAGCTCTCCCACCAGTCTAAGATAAGCACTTGTTCTCTCTGTTTCCACGGCTTCCTGCTATACCTGTATGGTCATACTAAGGGCTGCCTTGTCTCTTCACTGTACTTCTTTCACTAGACATGAACTTTTTAAGAAGAGTTCTTCTTTGTGTCTTATTTGTTTTGGTGTCTCCAGAGCCTAAGACAATAGAGTATATCATAGGTGCTCAAACACTGCTCAGTGATGAGCGCAGCTGTCAGGATGCCAATAGGCAAGTCAGTCAAATGTTTGGCATTCCCTCTCCACTGCATGGGAATCAGACACCCTGCATGTTTATCTACCTCATGAGGGTGTTCTGAATGCAAATTAAAAATAATTTGTGTGAAGGCATCAAATACAATCATTTGAAAAACCATTGTGCATATTAATAAAAAAATAGAAACAAGTTAAAGGTTTCAGGGATCAAAGGGGACCTGTGGAAAACTATTTAAATTTACCCTTCTATTTGTATGAACTTTAGTATGGCATATTATAATATGTATCTTACCATTTTAATAGCAAATATTGAAGAAATGATATTTCAGAACCAGTCCTCTCTTTTAAAAAGAGTAGAATTTTCTTGCAGAAAAGGAGAAGGAAATTTGGCAAATAAGCATGCTGTGTCCTCGGACAAATTGAGAAAATATGATTTCTCTCCACAGGACCAGATGGTCTTTATTAAAAGGAACTTATGCTTTTGCTTTATTAAGAAGGTCAGGTGACACATATTTTATTATTAGTCGTTAAACCTATCAAGTACGTATCTACATACACATATGCAGCAATATGCAGATGACGAAACAATTCAGATTGTATTTTCTTCTGAGGGCCTCAAAATTAAAGATGAAACATTTAAACTGTCAGCATTAGAAACAAGTAACATTTTTCAAGATGGATATATGTATGTAAAACAGTTATCTATTTCCATTCCATATTTTCCAATACACACATTTGAAATATTTGTAACTTCAAAAAAGGGGAAAACTTCAAATGTTGGCCTAGCTTTTTCTCCCTTACCATCTATGTTATCATTCAATTACTTAAACTGATTTTAACTGATTTCATTATCAATTTCTTATACTTTTGTTTTGTAATTTGATATTTGAATTATAGAATAACTGACACATATTCATCACCATTTCACAGGAGACACTAGTGGATGGGCGACTATATTTGGCACAGTCCATGGAAATGCTAATAATGTGGCATTAACACAGGAGTGCTGTAAGTGGTATTGATTCAAAAACTCAGTATCAGCTTTGTGAGCAACATGATTTGCGGTGCATGGATTCATATGGGTAGGGTGATTAAATTCCTTCTGGAATTTCAATTTCAGTTCAATGTGTTTCACTGGTCAGCTGGTCTGTTGTCGGCTGTTGTCTGCCATGGGACTGAGAGATGGAAGAAAACAGCATACTTTATTCATGCTCATTTGATGTATTAGCCTATGATTGCAAGAATATATAGATGTTCAATAATTATGACAAATAATAAAGATCTTTTCCCTTTACTGAAGAAAGTGTTTCACTAAAGATATTGAGCACCAACTGCTTTCCAGCCCCTATGTTAAGGGCTGAGTGTACAAGGATAAATAAGATGTGGTTGCAACTCACAAATAGTTCATATTGTAGCAAGAAAGATAAATCCTCATGGAAGCAGGGAAGGTAAAACGTAGTGTTAAACTGGAGGAATGATGTTTGCACAAGGTAATGTGAAAGCCCATTGGAAGAAATGAAGGCTGTGTTAGGGGTGGGGAAAGATCCACAGAGAAGATGACATTGAGATGGACATAGAAGTCCCTGGATGAAGGAATGAGTGGAGGTAACAGGACAAGCCGGGAAGCAAGATCTGCAAAACACTGGGGTAGGAAGGTGTAAAGATCACTATGTCTTTCCCAGTGGTTCTGAGTGCATGGGGCAGAGGAGCTGGAGCTAGACCTAGAAGATGAGGCCAGCCCATAAAAGGTTTTGGGTGCACACTTTAGACATTGGCCTCTACCCTGTAGATAAAATCATGTCTTTATACATACCTATGTTACATACATGTGTATAATGTATATATAGGCATAATTATGAAGGTGCATGTACAATTATGTATGTATATTAATATGTATATATAATGTACCTATATTAAACGGTATATTAATACTATATTATACACTTTGTAACAACCAGTTTATAATCACCACTTACTATATGCTTTCATATACATCACAGGAGGATCAAATATAAAAATGATAAATTAAAAGTTTAAAAATAAATATAACTGAAAGTTCTAATATTTTCTTCCTGAACCACAATAGGTCACTTCGTATGCATCCCATTGTGCAGATCACTGCTGTACACAATTTTGGGCAATCACCAAAATTGTGGGCTTATTTTCTTTCAATGAATAGGAAGAAGCACATGATAAGGGGCGTGTGTGAGACAGAATTATAGAGAATGGAATAGAACAGCAGTCCTCAGCCCTGGGCAACTTTTGCCCCCAGAGAACATTTGACAATTGTCTGGAGACATTTCGGTTGTCACAGCTGGGTGTTTGCTACTGGCATCTAGTGTGTAGAGGACAAGGATGCTGTTGAACATCCTCTAACGTACAGACAGCCCCTCACACTGGAGAATGAGCTTCCCCAAATGTCAACCTTGCCAAGGCTGAGGAGAAAGTATGGTGAAAGAGATACTAATCATTATGTGTCCTGTAATACTTCAGACTAATACTCAGAATCTGAGTCCAGAAAATGTCAGTGAGAAAAATGAGTAGAGAGAGATGCAAGAAGCATTTATAAAGAAGAATCCAGAGTCTATGGGTATCACTGACTTACAGGTGAGGGTTCTATGCTCACATTGCTGGTTTAGACAGCAGGCCCAGCTTGACTACATTGGATTCTTTTATTGGGAAATAAAAGTTTCAAACCCTAGGTTTTCCATCTAATAATAACCACTATTTTTAATGTCAATAAACATTGAAGTAAACATTCTGAACTTAGCTTTAAGAAGTTGAGCTAATTAGCATAAACTTATAAACAACATAGAATACTTTCCAGAATTTTATACACTAGAATACATCTTTCGAATTAAGCAGGTACTCAATAAAAGTTTGTTGAATTTACCAAAATTCAGTGAAATTGATTTTTAAAAGTTTGGATAAAAGTGATTTAAAGGAAGCAGAGCAATTAGAAAGAACTTATAAAGATTTAAATAAATAATAGTAAATATAAAAATTGGAAAATAATCCTCATTTTCTTAGCTCCCATCAAAAGAGTTACTCATAGGATCAGAGGCAAAATCAAGTGCTCCATAAATATCACTCCTCTCTCTCTCTCTCTCTCTCACACACACACACACACACACACACACACACACACACACACACACGCAGTGTGATTGTCTGTCGTATGGGACAACTTGGCCTGGTTTCTCCTTGGATTTCTCACTCCTTTATATGACATTATCTTAATAACTATGTAAGCTTCTTCACAGTAAATTCTGAAGTGTTTTTTTTTTCCCTTCAGAATGTTTCAGATAGATGGATCTTTGGTTCTCTCAGCTTTATAGCTTCTCTACAATTTTTGTCTTCCACTATATCTTTATAGGAATGAAAAACAAAGAACCACAATAAGAGGGGATCTAACTTGGTCGATTTTAATAAGGCACAATGGAGGCTCTCACAGAAACTGCATCTCTTTTCTCCCAGCTCCAGAAGTTTGAAAGGGGAAAAAGAATGGAATTTAATTTTAATCAACAAGCATTTGTTGAGCAACCTCTTTGTGTCATTCAATTCAATTAAACTGACTCAATTATACCCATTACAGATTTACTCCATCATACTAATGTTTTTCATTGAGGAGAACTTAATCTTGCTTCACTATACACTTTTTTGCCATTTAAACCTTTCTGTAGTTTCTTTCTAATCACTTGTTAAGTGCCTCTGAAATGACCACTGGAAGCTAGAACTGAGATGAAACATCCCATTAGTCTGTATTCGACTAGGTGAAAATTCTTATTTGCTTTTATTATGGGCCCGAATTAGTGCCCTGAAGGTGTAAATGTTATACATTCAATGAAGAGAGAACAATGTCATTTATTAGAGATAAGGTCATAATTAAAGAAAAGTATTTTTTTCCCCAGTGAAATACTACTCTTTTGCCCCCTAGTTCTAAATCAGTATCCACAACCCTGTGACTGCAAAGGAACTGAATTGGAATGTGTAAATGTCGGCTTAAAGTCTGTGCCAAGGATTTCCAACAATACGACATTACTGTGAGTAGAATTCACAACTTGCAGATATTTGCCTGTAAAGTCATATGAAAACCATGTAGTCTAATCTAACCTCCCCTTGTTCTGTTTTATGTTACTTGTATACTAGCAAACTAATAGAAGCTCCCTTTAAACCACCAGCCATCAGAGAATTCCTCACGCTTCTTCTCCAGAGAAAACAGGTTTTAAACAGTGTTAGATTGCCTGGATATCATTTAGCTCACAAATGTCTGTGGTCTGGAGTGTTCATTTCAGTTACTTTCTGATCTCTTGTTTTTACCAAAATGCCAATACTGTACAACTAAAGATGGAAATAAAAAAGAAAACCACTAACTTATTTTCTCTTGTTTTAAATAGTGATAACTGTCCAAGTTTGCAAAGATATAAAAGGTCTATGAAGCTAGCTGTGTTACCACTGTGGAAGTTTTCCTGTACTTTGCAAAAATGTTCTGAGAGTCTCAGAATTTACAGTCATGTTATAATTTGAGCAAGCATGATTTGGTTAGGATTATCTGTTGCTTTTGTTGGTGGTGGTGGTGGTGGTGGTTTTGTTTGTTGTATTTTGTTAAATTACGCAGAGAGTAAAGATGTTAAATCACGATAGACATTCTAGTCTATGATACTAACTGACCAGACTTGTCAAATGTTTGCAAACTGCTTTAATTTTGCTTTTTGGACTTCTCATTCTCATATAAGGGAGTTTTCAGTTACTACAGTCATTTTCAGATGTGTGTTAAGTAGCATGGAGTATCATTAAATATCCTGTTTTCAAGCATGCACTTTCTAGGGATAACTGTGGTTGGCCATTAAACCCGTAATGAAGTCTGCTTTAACTGTTATTTTAGGTCTCTTAAGAAAAACAAAATTCACAGTCTTCCAGATAAAGTTTTCATCAAATACACAGAACTTAAACAGATGTAAGTAGCTATTAATAGTGTTTTTATGAAGAAATCCTTATGATGTTTTAAGATGCCTTTTATCTTTTTATTTTTATTTTTTTAAAGATTTTATTTTTATTTATTTGACAGACAGAGATCTCAAGCAGGCAGAGAGGCAGGCAGAGAGAGAAAGGGAAGCCGGCTCCCTGCTGAGCAGAGAGCCCGATGTGGGGCTCGATCCCAGGATCCTGGGATCATGACCTGAGCCGAAGGCAGAGGCTTTAACCCACTGAGCCACCCAGGCGCCCCTGCCTTTTATTTTTAAAATGAAATATAAACGCGATAAGCTTTATCAGGTAATTTATTTTTCCAAATATAATTAAGATTAGTAAATTAAGCTTTGAAAACTAGCATATTATCTTTCCATTTCATAATTTAAAGTAGCTGAATTGATTTTATTTAAACTATTTTTAGAAAATTAAATTGGAGTTGAGATCAGGCATCTCAACAAGAAAACACATAGTTCCATATGAATTTCCAAGGTCATTTGGAAAATGACATTGTAGATTCAGAGGCACTTGATGCACTTTTTAATTTAAAGAGGAATGTTAGTATAGACCAGAATGTTCAGATCATTTAGAACACATAATGAAAGAATATGAACAAAACACAATCTTAGTGAAATCAGTGATATTAGCATATCTGAGAAAAGAAAATGTTAATAAATCCAGCACAGTCTGCAATGAAGAAATGGTAGTCAGCGAGAAACAAAGTATCAAGATGCTATCTTCCAAGAAAGAAAACCAAGATCTGGGAGACATACTCCCTAGAGAAGTCTTTTCTGGAGGACAGGGATGGATTGTCAATTTCCACCATAACTAGCATGAACTATCTTTTGATGGAGATTACCTTTGCTTTGATTCCCTGCTCACCAAGCGACATTATGATGAGTGCATTAACTTCCCAAATTATTCATACTGAAGTATTTGGGCAGTTATCTTGGATAGGGTATAAGAACATTTCTATTGGTGGAATTGAATACCTCCTATTTAAATAAAGAAATTGAGAATATTCAAATGCTTATGAATTTGGTTACTGTATATCAGTTCCTCTGAGCCCAATCAGTCTGGGATAATGAAGAAATCAACTTCCTATACTTGCCAAGATGATCGTTAGACTAGATTTAAAAATTAACAAGGTAGGAGCACCTGGGTGGCTCAGTGAGTTAAGCCTCTGCCTGGGGCTCAGGTCATGATCTCAGGGTCCTGGGATTGAGCCCCACATCGGGCTCTCTGCTCAGTGGGGAGCCTGCTTCCCTGCCCCCTCTGCGTGCCTCTCTGCCTACTTGTGATCTGTTTGTCAAATAAATAAATAAAATCTTTAAAAAAATTAACAAGGTAATGTTGTAAGGCCCCTGGCAGTACAATCATATTGTTTTATCCTTCAGCGTATAAAGTTTCTAGAAATGTGAAATATGTTAAAAAGAATAAAAATAATCTGATGTTTGGATGATACTGGACAGACTTATTTGGTTTAAAATGCCATCAACAATTCTATACTGTTCATGAATTTAGGTACAGATTTTCTCATATAGGAAAAGAAGTCACTGAAGGAAGTCCATGAGTGAGGTAGAATCTTATATGAACAGAGATAATCATGCCCGCGTTTGATTACAGCCTTTGTAAATATCATCTCACATCTCTATAAATACCATCCTGGAGCATGTGGTCATGTTGACTTCGTCACCATGGAGTGGCTGTGCACGTTCTCTGGGTTTCCAGATTCCTCCAGGGAGGAAATCCTCACAATACTGCTGCTAATCTTACTGGAAATCCTTAGAATCACATGTTCATTCTATGAATCAATATTGTGTTTGCAACTGCCTGGATAATGCTCAAGGGAGGAAAAATAAAATAGCACTAGCAGAAAGGAAGGGGGGAAAGGCTCATGCTGTAGAGTACCTTTTTCAATTCTATGATCTAGAGTCATAGAAAGTTTATGAATTTTTAATTAAATCTTGTTATTCAGGAGGCAACTAAAGTCTGCAATGGTTAAATGATTTAACTAGGATCTACAACTAGTAAGTGGAAGAGCCAGAATTAGAGCCCCTATCTTCTGATGCCCGATGCAGTGTTTATAATAACCAGAAACTAGAGATGGAAAGAAATCATTCTAGCAACAGATTGAGTGTTCTACTAATACATACTGTCCTACCCCAAGCAGAACTCCCTTCTCTATGTTTGCCCTCTTAGTGGGGACAAATTGACTTTGGGAAGTCAGAGCCATCACCAGAGGATCAAGCAAAAGACAGTTAAATTTCAGATACTTAGACCAAGTCCTTTTGTGGACCACTGATCTATGTCAATACTTATTTCTCGTAGTATAAGCTAGCCCACTTAAGGGAAGAATATGGAATCACTCCTTTTGATAATTAAGGCCCCAGTTTTTCCCAGTGAAATAAAATAGGGATTAACCTTAATTGCCCAGATCAGCTGGAAAATTCTCCAAATATTGACTTCTACTTTGTGTGAGAAAGCCTAGGGGCCACATCATCACCCAGCAGAGGCTTTCTCAATGCAAGCTGCTATTTGATGCTTTCCAGGCGGGTTGATTCTCCTGGAGACTGAGAGAAAAGCGATCAGGAGACCATCATCAATAAATATTCACTAACTATCTATTATAGGCAAAGTACGGCACAATTCTTTTTATTTATGTAGCACTTTTTAAAGTTTACAAAGAAGCCGGCATTTGGAATTCTCATTTGGACTTTGATCCCCAAAATCTGTGAGGTCGAGGCAGACATCATGAGATCCTTTTAGGAATGAGGATACCTACTCTGGAGAAGAGGGGTTGTTTGCCCAAAGGCAGCCAGCTGACAAGTATTAGAGTGTGGCCTCAAACCCAGACCTCTGACTGTGATCCTTTGGAAGCTTAGTTGCATGGTCCTGTCTCAGAATATTGTTACTGTTGATGAAAACATCCATTAACCAAACTTTGATTTGAAAATAACTCAGGTTCTTCATAAGCATTACCCGAATATCGCAAAGTAGCTCATGAGTTCATGAGTATCCCCAGCCCTTTTCTCCTCCTTCTCCAGCATCTCCCCCCAACCTCAGACACACCCTTCCCCTCCAGTCTTACTCTTATCTTCTCCTTCCCCATTCTGCATTACAATAACCCAAATAACCGGTGTCACAAAGCCCAAACCATGCCCAAAAGAAGGTGTCCGGAGAATGGACAACCCCCAGAACCCTTGGTGGCATTCAACAGGAGGGTAAATGCTGAAGAAACCACATGTTCATTCATTCTTTCAATGAATATTTCTTGATACCTGTGAGGTACCAGGCACCTACAAAAAGCCCTCTCTTCATGGAGCTTAAGGTACAAGGGAGGAGGATAGATAATAAAATTTAAAAATACTTAGTGTATTACATACTGATTAGGGCCATGGAGAAAAATAAGCCAGGAAGGAATGAAGGCAAGCCGAGGAAAAGAAATTTTAAGGAGTGTTAATAAATTTTGTCCTGTCACAAAACTCTACCACTGGCAAAGCTTCCCATCTTTCTTAGACTTACACCATGAAACTGATCAGAATACACCCAATCAACCATCCATGTAACTGTTGATATTTCAAGCTGGCTATTATTACCCTGCACATTCCACAAGTCTCTTCAAGCAGAATTCTCCCCCAAAAGGACCTGGTTTCATATCTAATCATCATTCTGGTCACATTAATCTGTATATGTTCACCTACATTTGCCTTACATGTAGTATCTAGAATAAATGCAATATTTTCACTGTGACATAACCAGAGCAGGGAAAGAGAAAGCTAGCAACACTTCCTTCCTAAACTCTATATGCCCTAAGCTTACATTTGCTTTTTGGTGACTACTTCACTCCCTTAACTCCTAGCAATCATGCCTCTAAAATTCCCAATCCCATGCCACATTTGTTTCTGCTCAGGGATGGCTACTCCATCCTGCATTTGTGCACTCGGCATTTGAGAGCTAGTGATAGGTCCATAAATTTATCTCTATTCAGTTTCATGTTGTTAGAGTCAGCTTTTCTTATCAGACTGTGAAGAACTTTTTTGAAAACTCAATATATTTGCTGTTCTTTCTAGCATTCTGTAATCTGAAAATTAGATGAGCCACCTTTCCCAAATCATGCAGTAAAATATTGAAGAGGACAGTGTCGAATACTTTTTCCTGAGTCCTCCATCATCATCCTTCAAATAATGTATATTGTTCTTTATCCTGTCCATAAAACCATCATAAAGCCATTTGATCAATGCCTAGTAGACTATAAGCAATGTCAGGCACATAGTTGTTTGAATTTAGGACTGATCAGTTTTTCAAAGAAAAAAAATCAAGTTGGTCCAACACGCCCTGATTTTCATGTAGTCCCCTGTTTACTTTCTCTCTGAGGCGTTCACAGGCAGTGTCCTAAATAGCCTGTTCTGTGATCTTGCCCACAGCCAACATCATGCTCATCATTCTATGCACTGGGATATATCCTAAGAGATCACTGAACCTAACTTTGAGTGAGTCTGTGGTCTAGAAAGCTCTAAATATTCAGTGGATTGAGGTCAATTTGGTATCCTGAAAAAATAAACTTAGAAATCAAAATGAAATTTTAATTACCAGATGAATAAATGTTATTCAACTTATCTGAATGCTTTAACTGTTGATCAGATTACTCGTTTTAATAACCTTTTAAAATATCTAATGTTGGGGGGGAGGACATTTAAGATGATCTTTCAGAGAAATAAAATATAATTTATAACATTGACTGTAATACTCTATCACTACTACCATGGAAACCAATAGCAGTTCTCCTCCCTATTGTAACATAAACCTTATATAAATTAGAAATTCCTTCTTAGACATGGTTCTAGTTCAAGGCAATCATTGGCAACAAAATGTAACTCAAGGAGTCTGCCTGGTTCATGAATACAAAATGTTGCATTAAAGAATAGCCTATAAACATGCATGTCATTAAAGCATTTATTTGCTTTAGTTTCAGGTACATAAATTCCTGGCGTTTCTGCTTGAAAAGTCCTGACAGCTGAAACAGCAGGAATTCATGAACCAGTAAGTTATTCTTAGAAAAGCCATTCAATGTAAAGTATATTAAATGGGCTCATATCTCAGCTCTGAATAAAAAGAGGACACCACTTGCCAAATTGTTATGTTTCCAAATTTTCCTTCATACTCACTAAGCTTCTATTCTGCAAAGAAGAAAGGGGATAGCACAGGATCACGTTAAAATTCACTAGCCTAAGTCTGAGACAGGGGTCTTGGGACTCTGGTTATCTGTGGGGAGCCAGCAAGCTGAAGCCAAAACAGAAGGCTAGAGGCTCTTCATTATTTAAGGAGTTGGAATCTTAACTCATGTCAGGGAAGGCAGAGAGGCTGTACATGTCCAGTGAGTCATGCAGATGGAAAGCACAAAGTCAAATTCACAATTTATGACTGCCCATCTCTTCAAGATTGAGAGCATGTAGGTAAAATGTGCATTCCACTTTTGAATTCATTATCTTGAATAAAATATAAATCGTACTAGTTAGGTGGTAAATCTTATCTTCAAGAGAAACTTCAATATACCTATATTATAACATTATGTTCTTTTTCTATTCTTGTTTACTATTTTAACATAATTCATTATATTAATTTTCATTACATCACTCAAGAGCTCTGAAATGCTAAAACAGATAGTGATCTATATGTATTCATTCTATTCATAGCAGAACTTTAAAACCAAAAGCACAACTTATGTTGCAATGGGAAGCATCTCTTCATAGACATGGTGGAGGGGGAGAAGGGTTGGAAGGGCATGAGGTCTCTATGGGTTTCAAGTTTACTTTGTGGGATTGAAATTGGTATTTTGTGTATCTATGTATGTAATGCCTGTGCTCTGTAGTACGAACATTTTCCACTTGGCGGTACATAGAGAAAATGACAATATTTAACGCTTAGGGTAATAGATGGGTTAGCTGATAACTGGGAATGGCATCTCCACTTTACCTAGCTACCCAAATGTCTGAGAGCTTCAATATCCTGACACACCTATAATGCCTTCACGACTCAAAGGCTGGGAAGCTTAGCTAGAGAATGAATAGTTACAGTATAACAAAATTCAGAGTACAGTCAGATGCTGAAGGAGAACACGTTCTATGAATAGTTTTGCAGTGAGGTACCCTAACAATCAAGAAAATGTTGTACAAGATTAAAGAATCAAATCAAATAAAAATAAGAGATGGGGAAGCCATTCAAAAGACGATGTAGTCATTAGTTACTATTATTAGTGGACATTTCCTGCTCCTAAATACCTTTAGAAAATATGAACGCAAGGTTAACCTCCCATTGTATAATGAGCACAGGAAATGGAAATTATTTGCTTAGATACTCCCAACAGTGCTATTATTGAATATTATATTGCAAAATTGCTTCAGGGGCTAAGTAAATTATGACCCTGTGAGCTGAAGTAGATGTATTAGCTCCGGTTCAACTACTCATGCCATTCCTGACCTTGAACACCTAATTCCCTTTGTGGTTCTCATTCTGCATCTCAAAATAGAAAAGAATAAGACTTGCCCTCTCCTTTTCCCATGGGAATAGAATGAAGAGAAATGGGGAATTAAAGTTAGAACCCTGTCCTGAAAAAATAAAGCTCAACAGTGAGACTGGCTGGTCTCACATGGGGCATATCTCTCTTAAGTCAGAATAAGAAAACTGCAAAATAGACCACTTTGACCTTCAAACTCATCACACATGAGCTCAGCAGTGCAAACCAGAGATGCCAGAAATCTCACTGCATGGGTGCTAGCGGGACAGAAGAATTAGCCAGTTCACAGCCATCTCTCATGGGCAACGCTTCTACTGCCCAACATAAAAGTAGGATTGGGACTTTATAAGCCAGTTTCACAAACTGTTTTTAGATGAAGAAAGTGGAGACCACATTCAACAACTTGATAAAAAGCTTAAACCATAATCACATGACTCTTCTATCTTATTCCTACCAGATTTCTTCAGCATAATTGTATTACACACATATCCAGGAAAGCATTTTTTGGATTACATAACCTGCAAATATTGTAAGTAACTTCTTTATAATTATGAGTACAATTTTAGGTAAAGGTTAGAAAGGTAAAATGGTCATTTTTGAAGACTTGACTTGTCTATAGCGAAGTGGGAGGAATTGTTATCACAAAGTACTTAGATTAATTATTATGCTAAAAGAATTATTAAAAGATTCCTGGTTTTACCAGCTATAAAAGCTCTCCTTAACCTTGTATTTTCAAGTTTGGGTCATTTCCACAATATTTTAGCATTTTATTTTTTCTAATCCTTGCTAACTTACTTGTATGTTTTCTTAAAATACTAGTCTACTAAGGATGGAACCAAAAAGGACAAAAGCAAAAATAACCTACTCTTATACTCTTAACAAAATACAATATTCCAACCCATTACTTTTGGCCATTTTGCTGGTCCTGGCCCCAGGGTCGCACACATTAGGCTTGTTATCTGTATCTCCCAGTTGTTCCTTGATTTGTCCCCCTCTTCTTATCCCGTTGGGTGCTTTCAAAAACAGATGTCCATACTCCATAATCATCAGCCGCAGCTCATATTCTAATTATATATGACTAAAATGGAGTACTGAGTTTGCTTAATTGACTTGCTCATGCTATTTATAGGTATCTCAGCCACAACTGCATTACAACTCTCAGACCCGGAGTATTCAAAGACTTGCATCAGCTAACTTGGCTGTAAGTATTCCAGCTTTTCCCTCCCCAACAAAAGATCAGTCTTGATGATATACATCAATGCTTATAGTTTCCATCTATTTATGGATCTTGTTTATTATACTCATTTTTCTGTCACATAATCTGGAGCATTTTACCCAAGCAACTCAGATTGTTAAGGTCCAAGTTAAGGAGTTTTTTTGATTTCCAGAACATTCATAGAAAGGTCTGAAAATACGGTAAGTTGTGGTGTTTCATTACTTTCCAGGCTAAGCCACCAGCTCCATACTGAGGAGTCCCACATCAGATGTTTGTGTTTTCATCAGAAAAATAAACATGAGGCAGTTAGAAGGCTCTATGTTTCAGTTTGCCCATTTTCTGTAGGTTGGTCTGGCCTAGTAGAAAAGCCAGAACTTCAACTTCATCCAGATCCTGTGTATGTCATGGTCCTAGGCTTAATGTTCCAGGCAACTTTCTTAATCTTCAGAGGCTGTTTTTTTCTCATCTGTAAACTATAATCACAGTTCCTTTCTAAAAACAATGTTTTGAGGATTAAATCACAGAGCATATATAAATGGCCACATGGAGAGCTTCTGGCATATAGTAGGTGCCCAATGTCACTCCCTTCTCCAAATTTTACTCTCAAGGGCCCCTGAGAGTAAGAGGAAAGGGTACCTGGCTTCAAAGGCACGAGAGAAAAGAAGGCATATTTCCCTTTAGTCTATTTCTTTCTAGGAAAATACCATATATGGTTAGAAATGGTGATTTGAATATATGAATATTTCCACTCATTCACCCTCAAAGCTCCTAATGAGTTTGTTTGTATAGACCTTATTAAATGCGTCATTTAAATCCCATGAAACCAAAGAACCATTTGTGATTTCCTAAGAATTTTTTTTTCTCACTCACTCTTCATTCAGTCAATCAGTAGGTCAAAGCTTTCACTGAGTCTGTAGTCAGCCGATTAATAATTCAGCTTGTGCTGGACCCAAGTATCCAAAGGTGAAGGGTGTGACTCAGGTCTTGAAGAACAGTGGGAGGTGGATGCAGGCAGAGAAAACAATCAGGACAGAGCTCGTAAGAACTGGGATGGAGGGTGGTGGGAATGTGGAGGAAAGACCCAGGGTGAAGGAGGGGCTTTCAAGGAAGAGGATAGGGACCAAGTATGGACGGGCAGGTAGGAGGAGAGCAGGTGTTGGGGGAGACAGGATTGTCATGCGCCTTTTCTTGTTTCCTGGTTTTATTTCATAAATGTCTCTAATGTTGGAAATGTTTGTGATATGTTTTCTCAGAATTCTAGATGACAATCCAATAACCAGAATTTCACAGAAGTTGTTTACTGGATTAAAGTCCTTGTTTTTCTTGTAAGTGTTCATTTACCCTTCAATACATCTGTCTATAAATTGCAATGACATCTAACACCAGCTTTCAAAAAGAGCTTTAAAAACCTCAAGCCTGATAACATTTTTATTAGTCAAAACCTTTCCTGTGTGTCTAACCACAGTTACTGTTGCAGTTTCCTGACCATGGCTCCTGGTCAGGAAAGCTGACCATGACCATTTAAGCTTACTGGTTGATTGCTTTTTGATCTCCTTTAATTTCCTTTAATCCTAAAGCATGTTCGACCTGCAGTGGTTAACCAAAGATAGTATTCATTTTTATCTGCTTACTACATTTAAATCTATCAGAATCTCCTGGGGGTTCAGCTCTGACTACATTTTTAACAGAGGGAAATGTGCCTTTGCCCAGCGAGAGTCACTAAAAATTCCAAAATCTTTGTCCCACCAAAAGAACTATTCTCATAATTACATTCTCACTGTTTATTAATATACTGGAATGATTTATCAGCAGGGGATTATTATATTCCTTTATAGTTGATCATATAGCATCATTATTTTTCCATTTGCCAAAAGGAACCACAATATCATAAATTAATCGTGCAGTTTAACATGCTGATGGGTTGTTTTCTTTCCCCCAGTGCCCCCTGCTATCACTTCTTAGATTTAATGCAGTTTGTGATGTGGCCTTTTAATACTGTAAGTGATTGATGTTTCCCTTAAGAAAAAATTCTGAATGTAGGATGCTAGAAATGATTGCAAATTAAAAGTTTACAAGGAAAATTACCATGAAATTCAAAATTATTACTCAATATATACTTTGGTTTCATCTCATAAAATTAAACTGTCCAATGTTTATTCCCAGGTTATATATCATACTTTTGTATTCATAGTTTCTTTGACATCTGCTTCCTTTTCCACGCATTTCTAGACACCATTTTGAAGAGGTAGTTATGTGTTTATTCTTTCTCTGGGTGTGTTGATTTTAGCATGCAACTTTCCAAATGGTGGAAATAATAAAAATGCTGTTCTTAAAGTGGCATATCATCTTGCTTCTAATTAACATCTTCTTTGTGTAAAGGTCTATGGTTAATAACTACTTAGAAGCCCTTCCCAAACAGATGTGTGCCCAAATGCCTCAACTCAACTGGATGTGAGTATGCATTTAGGAGCTAATTTGTTCTTCATCCAGATTAAGGAAACTAGACATGAAGTTAATTCATGATCACATAAAAAGCCCATTGGTGATCTTCTTCCCAAAACCCAAAACCGATTACATTATTTCCTGGTTTAAATATCTTTTGAAAATTCCAGTGGGTATACAAGTCAAATTCAGACTTAACACTTGAGCACCCAAGGCCCCCCATTTTCTGTCCCTTCCTCCATCTAGTCTACCATCCTCCTCCTCCTCCTCATGTGCCTTCCTTCCAGATGCACCAAAGTGCTACAATCAATTCCCCGAGCACATATTATCCCTTCAATTCTGAAAGTCTTGCTCCTTTATTCTTTGGTTAACTCCAACATCACCCTCAAAGGTCAGCTTAAACATCCCCTCCAGGAGGCCATCCCTGACATGCCAGCCAATTTCATTGCCTGCCCCTCTGCCTCTTTTACACTATGGGCAGACGTCCACCATGTCAGTTGGTCCCTATACTGCATACCTATCTTGCTATTGCTATCATAGAACCATTGGTTTACATGTCTGTTCCCCACCATTCTGTAAATTCTATCAGGGCAGAAACCCACCTTGGGATTTATATCCCAGCATCTGTACAATGACCAGCACATAATAACTGCTCAACAGATCTTTGTGAAATGAATGTGCTAAACCATTTCCACTCCTTGTTAGCTTTGAACAAATACTTGTTTAAAACATTTAGTTAGTTTACTTCATGGTTTCACTACCTCTACTCCCCATTCCCTGCCACCTTCATCTTCACAGTTTCCTGAGACAGGCAGTGTTGTGATCTCTTGCCCTGTGAAATGCTGATTGTACTGGCCCCCAGAACCCTTCTCATTGTCAAATCAGGGATTCAATAATCATACGAGGATAAAACTAGTACCTCAGCTTTTGATTCTTTCTGAGCTAGACTTAGAATTACTTGTTACAACTACTAGGTGCCCTTGTGTTTATTTACTGACATACATACATACATGTATTTATTGATTTACTTATTTATTATTTATATACTTGTTACCAAAAAACTTTTAAGGCAATAGAGGTCTCATGTAAATGTGCCACTGCTGAAAGGGGAATAAAAGTCTGAACAACATGAGAATAAAACTTGTTAAGAAAGAAAACACATGAGCACATCTGCACAATGAGAAGCAAACAGGAAAGAGTGACGGTAGCAGAAAAAGATCAGAGTCCAGACCTGTCCCCCAAAATGGACATCAACAACCAAGAGTAGATCAGAAACCAGTGTCAAAACCCAGGTTTCTGGCATACTCGTGGTCACTCGAGGCTCCCTCAAACACTAGGGAAAAATGTAGACACCCAGTAAAAATTTATCATTAGTAGTATTGTCTGATCACGCATGGAAAAGGGCCTTTAAACCAAGAGGACAAAGAACTGAGAGGTCAGACCCATAAGAATCCAGTGAGACAGAAAAAAGTGTGACCTGGCCAGGCTTTTCCTCCCTCACTTGCCATCAGTAGGGCTATACTCTTAACTCCTTACTGTTATACTTGCAAAATATGAAAACATTTATTCCCATTCCATTTAACAATATTTGGACTTTAAAGAGAGTACAGTGTTTATTATTTTAACCACAGTATTTTAAGGCTGAAAAAAATACCAAGTTCCTACAAGACCACCTGGATGGCTATAAAATAAAACTTAAAAGGGAAGGACAAAAGAATTTGTGATTTTAGTGTGAACTTGAGAAATGCTCAGAAGCAGCAAAAGAGCCATCGATCATCATATACAGGGAAGATTATAGGAAGCAAACAATAAAAAGAAGTTAAGAGACTTAGCAGGAAAGCTGCCTCTGTCTCCTTCTTTGGAACTGCTGGGAGAGGTAATTTCCGAGTGCTCCCAACAGGGACTCCCTGATGGTGGGATATCCTGTCATAAGGGATCACTAGCAGGATGCACTAATTCCACCAGTGCTTCTCCAGCAGTGTCAGCACACATCTCAGACAATACGAGGACTAGTTAAGGCCTCAGTCCCTTTGCAACGATGTGGACAGAGTATCATGCTAAGTGAAATAAATCAGTCAGAGAAGGGAAAATACCATATGATCTCACACATAGGTAGAATTTAAGAAACAAAACAAATGAGCAAAGGAAAAAGAGAGAGAGAAGCCAAGAAACTGACTCTTAACTATTGAGAACAAACTGATGGTGACCAGAGAGGAACTGGGTCGGGGGATGGAGAAAATAGGTGATGGGGATGAAGGAGGGCACTTGTGATGAGCACAGAGGGTTGTATGAAGTGTTGGATCACTGTATCTCACACCTGAAACTAATATAATACTGTATGTGAACTCTACTGGAATTAAAACGAAGACCTCAGTCCTGGAGTAGGACTGAGATGGAGCCTGAGAGTCTGCATTTCTGAGGAGTTCCCAGGTGATGCTGGGGGCTGTCCCAGCCACACTGGGGCAGCGCTACACTCAGCAGTAGCCTCTCAGAAGCATGGTAGAAAGACCAGTCATTTCATTTCTGGGTTTCAGCACCAAAAACAATCAAACAAAAAACAAAATAAAAGAAAGAGCATTTGCTCTCCGTCATGCAGATGGATACATATCCTGACTCTGGTGTTCGGTATCTGAAAGATAAATTTGCCTGATTTTCTCCTTTAGCAAAATAGAGACCAAAGTATCTGTGTGATGTCAGAGGAATGTGAGATTATAAGGGTCTATGATGCCATGCTTTAGTGTCTAGGCTTTAGATACAGACAGATCTGGGTTAGATAAATAGTATAAATGGTAAATAGTTCTACCATTTACCAGCTGTGTGACCAGAAATTAAGTGAATTCCCAAGAGTCTCACATTCCTCATATGTTAAATGGACAGGGGTAGGGGGGAATAATACCAACTTTCCATGAGTGCTTTTATACACTCAGAAGAGTACCTGACAGCGTAAAACTCTAATAAATGGTGGTTACTCCTATTATGGTGGCAATGTAATGTTAATTAATAGCATGGTATCTAGCACAGAGGGACACTCACGAAATGTTGGGCTGCCCTTTCCCTCAATTTTATTAAGTTCGAACATTAATTGGAAGGGGAAAAGAAGCATAATATTAATTATATTATTAACCCCACAATGATTAGGAAGAAAACATAAAAATTGGAATGAGGTAAAATATAAAGTTCAGAACTGTTATATCAACAAAAAGTGCCTGTAGACATGTGATTTGTGCAAAAACACTAAAAATATTTCTTCTCCATGCCTTTTAGGGATTTGGAAGGCAATGGGATAAAATATCTTACGAATTCCACTTTTCTGTCATGTAATTCACTCACAGTGCTGTAAGTATATAATGGAAATCAGTAAACCAAGGGGAAACCCAATAGATTTGGAAGTCAAAAGAAAACACTGACAAGGAATTTTAAAGTCATGTTTTGTTTACAGCCTCCGTCTGAAACTGCAGTCCTAGAAAATGTACACACAGATTTATCGATTTTGATGGTGGGGCCCAGCCTTCAATGTAGCTGCCCAGCATTTAGGTCTCCAGCTGATCTCCTTCTTGCTGAGGGCAATCATCATTATTTCGGTGCATCCTCTCAGCTGAGCTGGCATCTAACACTGTGATCACCAAGGAAATGAGATAATGTGTGTGAAAACGGTTAGCTATACCACAGTTAGCTGTTACTGCCAGTGAACAATTATCCCTTGATGTCTCTTCTTTCTCTCTAAAGAAAAAATAATAATTTTATTCTTAAGGGAAGAATATCTAATGTATTCTGATTTCCCAAAGATTCTGATTGGTGATTCCGATTGCTGATTATGTTTTTTCAAGGTGGGGGGGGCTGTTATGCACGTGGATCGGCTGTGGCACATTTGCACTGGTAAAAACACATGAATTTCCCTTTGGATTGAATCATAGTTTCTACATGTAGTAAGCAGTTAGTAATGCTTGATGGTTGCACAGGTGGTTGGAAAAGAAAAATTGGAATTTATTTTTTTTTGTAGTCGTCTAACCACTGTTTTTCAATGAACTGAGAGATGAGGTTATTGCCAGGCTATGTATTTATCAATCAGACTGCAGATTAGCATATTTAATGATTAAAGAGGGGCTATCCCACTGAAGAGATGCAAAGAGTTGATTCCTTTTCTCATAGATCATGAGAGAATACCCTGGTAAACCAAACAAACTCCCTTGACACCTTCTATTTTATAACTCCATGTAGCTTTTGAATCACGGTCACATTCATGATCTCATTTGTTAACACCTCTGTAAAGCAGCTAGTGGCAGACCCCTCTTTTTACTGTATGTCTTGGAGAATTCCATTTCTAGACAAAGAAAATGTAAAACCAGTCTCTTCCCCACCACCACCCAATTTAAAATACATTTGTGGCCCCAGAAACTGCTATGAAAGCTTTGTTCTTTCTGGCCTTTTCCTAAGGAATGTGCCTTATACAAGGATCCTCTCAAAGTCTACTCTAATTAATTAACAAATTTGACATCTGTGTGTGCATATTGGGAAATGAACATTTCCTGAATTAATCAGAATCCAAACAAAATGCAGCTTCATAGACCACACTCAGCGCCTCAAATTACCTACAGCAGCATTTCCTAGAGAGAACACATGGATAACTTTGGTGAGAAATTCTTGCCTTAAGTTCCACACCAGAACATGCCTTACTTTGAGATTTCAAAGGAGGCCTTGTGGAATTACCCCCGGATCAGTGGCATCTCCCAATGAGAACTGGTTCTTACAGCAGACACAAACCAACAGTGCTGACTCTCACCATGTCTTACAGGTTTCTGCCTAGAAATCAAATTGATTTTGTTCCAGAGAAGACATTTTCTTCATTAAAAAATTTAGGAGAACTGTAAGTAGCATTGTCTACTAGGAAAATAGGTTTGCTTCTTCCAAGATTATAAATTTAAGTGACTAGGGAGGCTGCTTTTTCACTAGTGGCAACCAAATCCTGAAGATTCCTGGATATTCAAAATCAATTAAGAAAATCAACATTATCCTAAAGTCCAAAGCAAATTAAAATAAAGTACTGGGCTTAATATGGATTTAGCCTACTCTAATTTCTCTCCCTGTTTTCTTGGGTGAGTGTGTGTGTGTGTGTGTGTGTGTGTGTGTGTGTGTTTTGAAGCAAATGAGTTTTCCAGAAGTGCTTAAATTCCAGGATCATTATCTCTAATGGCTGGAGTATAGTTAATTCTCAGTAACTATACTTGCTTGCTAAATGAATGTCTGACTGAAATCATATTAATCATGACCGAACAAAGGAACAAAGATGCTTATTATCCCTTGAGAAATTATGGCTTCCAGAGCTGATGAAGCAAACACAAATGTCTAGAATGATCGGGTTTATTGAAAAATATTCAGAGAGCTCATGTAACTTTTTCTGCTCAAATATGTTTTGTAGAGCTAAAATTTTTAAAAGTATCTGTCTTGCTATTAATTCGTTGCTATCCCCATAACTGTGTATCACTGGAAGTTAAAACTAAGTCTGTTACATTACAAAGGGCATGACTTGGGTACAGAACTCCTCCTGATATGAAGCCTAAAAATGGAAATTAATTTCTTAATTAATCTCTCCCCCATTCTTTATATCTCACTTCAAAATCCAGGAAGGACTGCGGAAAATAACTCAGGAAGAGAATTTGAAAACTAATTCATAAATAATTAACTCAAATGAATTTATAAATATCACAATCCAAAATCCACCTATATTTACTAAGTGCCTAGTATGTGCAAGACACTGCATTAGAACTAAAAATATTGTCATTTTATGGCAAAAAGTGAAAGGCAGCTCCCTCAGAATCGCTCATTCATTCTTCATGAGGGCACTCCTGATGAGACTTTAGAGGGTTGATAGGGATTTGGGATATGGGGTAGAGCAGGCAAGCAGCCCAGGACACACACGAGCATGTCTAAGATACAAACATAAGGAAACAGTGGTATGGAGTCCACATTTTGAAAAATATTCTAATCCTCTTTTTATCCTATGCTTATGCACAGCCACACACGTTCCCACCCCCCCCCAAAAAAAGAGCCTGATTAAGAGATATTAGCTTGTTTTTTAAAACATCACCAATCATCTACTCCAATCCACTGCTCATCAGTAAGTGAAAGCAAGAAATTCAGAAGTTTACAGAACTTGAACAAGGCATTTTTACTTCCTGAATTTACAAAAATGTTAGATAATTTTACTGTGCCTTCATGACAACAAATGCTGCTGGAGAGGAAAAGCCCATTTAGGTGAGGCCACTAAAGTCCTTTCTTCTAAAAGGCTGCACTTTGTTTTTCAACATAACACTTAGTAGGATGTTTTCTAGCCGCACAAGACACCATCATCTTGCTCTGTTGTGCTCTCTCTGACCCTTGCATACCTGTGGCTTCCCTTCTGCTCTAGACCCAGGTGTCCTCTTCTCACCTGCAGCCCCAGATCAGAACTCCCAGCTGGCAGGACATCTACACTTGAATACCATGATAGCACCTGAAAAGTAATCTGTTATAATGGATTCTTAGATGACCCTTACCTCCTGCCAGCTTCTTTCCCTGAACTTACCATCATAGCAGTATGGCATCCTTCCTGGCAGCCAGGCTTGAAGCCTCTTCCTTTCCCTCCAAACCTCCTTACATTTCATGTCCTATCAGATGGTAAGACCTGCCCATGAGCCCCTTAAGCCCTCATCAGCTTTCATGTGGTCCAGGGCCAAAGCCTCTTGCCTGGTCTTCATTGTTTGATTCTCCAACTTTTCATGCTTCTGACAGAACCATCATCCCATAAACCAGAGCATAGTATGCCGCTATCCTGCTTCATATTCTCACTCTTTGTTGCCAGCTTTCCATGTTAATGTTCAGAAGAATCACGAGGGATACTGGCTTTAAATACATGTTACCAGGCTCCCTCCCAGAGATTCTGAGGTGATAGCTCTGGAGTAGACACCAGGAATGTGCTCTTTTTATAAGCATCCTCTTTGGTTCTGATGCCTGTACTATCGTCTGAACTATCCAAGGAAGTTCTGCCTTGGAATGTATTCATGGCCCTTCTATTTTGTCTCCATGCTCATTTCCAGACTCATTTCCTCTATATCTCGTTATGCTTTCCATCCTCCACCCATGCTGGACCATTTGCCACCTCCAGAAGTTGTCATTGAATCTCAAGTTTCTGTTTCACTGATCTTGCTTAATTCTCACCTAAAAAGCTGTTCTTCTTTTATACTACCTATGAAAACCATAAAGCTTTGTTCAAACAGTTTTTGACTTTCAACTCCTTCCTCCGTTTTTTATCAGTACATCTATAATAGCACTTGCTTCATTACTTCCTTGTTTTATAATCTAGTTGTTTATTCTAATTGTAAGGTTCTTTAGAAAAAGACGTGAGTCTTAGTTATTTGTAACTTCCACATATCCATCAGCATTTCCAAAACATCAAAAATAGAGATCTTTTGCTCGAGTCTTAAGCAATTGCATGTCTGTTTCACCTTGGAACATCTTTCCTTCAGAAGGATATTTTGGACTCTTGAAGAGTCCTGATTCCTTCTGATACAAGCAAATCCTTTTCTACATTCTATAGAAGCACTTCCCTATGATTCTTTGTGGATTGGACAGTCCTAATATATTTCATTCTACATTTTTAATATCTTTTAAAAATAGATTTAAAATGTGCAAACTTATTCATTTGAAAGTGTCTGGACAGATAATATGTGGCCAATACTGTCTTAGCTGGAATGCAGAGTAAGTAGAAAACATAGGTCTTGGCCTCAGAAAGCTTGTAATACAGTTGGATAAACAAGATATCACATACTTGAAACAAAGAGGAGTCAAAGAAATTATGAATGATCGAAGTGTACAGAGAGTACCTGAAACAGAGAAAATTAACCAAAGTAGACACTGAAGCCAGGTTGGAATGTGTTGGAGAGAGACTGAGAGGAAATTCCAGACAGGAACTGGATGAGCAAAATGTCACATGTCTGAAAGCGATGGAAAACATATCCATTTGGCTGTCTCATACAGCCTTGTTTTGTAACAAGTTATCAGATTGGTTAAATTGGATCATATTTTCTGTTACATCAAATGGGATGATGATAATTGTAAGAAGTAATAACCCTGTCATTTATTTCCAATGTAACTGTGTTGGGTTTTCACTGTCATCAACAGGGACTTGTCTAGCAATATGATAATGGAGCTACCACCCCACATTTTTAAAGACCTGAAGCTGCTGCAAAAGCTGTAAGTTCTTCTTCCCACCATCATCAGATTTAAATGGCAATATCTTGAGCTTCCAAAATAATAACATCCTGATGCTTCTTTCCTCCCTCTTTCTGATGGTACAAAAGGAATCTGTCGTCCAATCCTCTTTTGTATCTCCACAAGAACCAGTTTGAAAGTCTTAAACAACTTCAGTCTCTGTAAGTGAAATGTAACAACATGTTGATTATCATTTTAGTGGATGTACTTTACTCAGAACCACATTTATTTTTAAATGGGTACTTTATACACAGAGAGCTTTTTATTTGAGCATGTATCATCAGACAGTTGTGAATATCATTGTTATCATCAAATATGTACTGAATGACAATGAAAACCATTCAATATGTTGTAAAGAACATTTCTGTGTTTGAAGCTACCTATACCAGATTTACATGGAAAAATCTCAACCTGCAATCTTCCCAAGGAATTAAATTTTCAGTAGTTTGGTTACTGAAAAACTGGTTAAAAAAAAAACAAACAAACAATTATGTAAGACTTGCTTGCTTTTTCTTTTCCCCTTTGCTACAAGAGTTTACTTGATATTGATCTATGGTGTATGCTTTCTATATTTCAAAAGTAAAGAAAAAAATTATCCCACCAATATGAATATTCAGGCACTTAATGTTGTTTAGTATTTTTAACTTTCAAATGTATTAGGTTTAAATACTGTCAAGAACTCTGCCAGTTTTTCTTTGAACTTCTTCATTCCTTTCCCAGAAATAACCATTTTTGGTTCAAGTTTGTTGTTTGTTTTTATACAGAGGACATACACATTACGTGATCACAGCCTAAAGCTTTTGTTCATTTAATTCTAAAGACTAATCCTTAATATCACATTTTCCTCTTGCTAAATAGTTTTCTTTTGGAAATTAATTCCAGATTTAGGTTCCCTTTCAACATGTATAGGTGAGCATCCACTGATGAAAAAGACTTGGTTCCTGTTCTTAAGAAGCAAGAATACAAAAAAACAATGATATACATGTTATATGTGTGTGTTATATGTTATATACATGTTATATGTTATATATGTTATACATATATAACATATTGTTTTTTCATATAAAAATAGGCCTTAGGATGTGAACAAAATGATTTTTCACTTACTGCACACTGAATTCTAAAAGCCAAAATATCATGCTATCACATCATGCCTTTCTAAAAGTCAAATTAGAAACTATTTACCCAACACTTTTCTTTATTGTTTCATTTCTTTTTTTTTTTTTAATTCATTTACACATTTACTTTACAAACATTTGCTGGTCACTAATTTATCCATGGCACTGTCTTGGGCACCCAAGATATAGTAACCTCTGCCCCTTTGGAGACTATTGGCTATTAATCAAATAATCACACAATCCATGTAGAGTGAAAACTGTGGTGAATCCAGGAGAAAGCCAGAGGGCAAAAGAAAGATGAGGGAAACAAATCCTTTAAAAATGACTCAAGAGTTTCCTGCAGGAGAGACCCTGGGACAATTCTGGAGTATAAGTGCTCCACAAGGTTTCATTTCTGACTGCCAAAGAACAAGGCAGTTCTGTGAAGGACTCCATAGATAAAAGAAAAACTCAGAACCATGTCAAGAAACCCTTATTCAGATCAGCCAAAAAAGAAACTGAGTGAGAATCAAACATCTTTCAAAATAAACCTTAAAAATAAAGGTTTCCGTTTTCTTAGACTTTCCTCTCTCCATCTGTTTCCTGAGAACATGGCAGACTCCCTTAATTCATGCCACCCTAAAGAGTCTTCAAAGAATCTGTATTTGAAGAAGCTTTTGGATAAATGAGGAATATAGGGGTTCCCACTGGAGCCCTCTAAGGATATCTCATAGGGTTGGAGGAAGGAAAGGCATTATGCTTCCATTCAAATCCAGGTTCTCACAAAACTTACTTCAGTGATTTTTTTCAGGATGGAAATATGAGTTCCTGTCTGAAAGCCTCTAAAACTCACATGGTGTGGTCTATAAAATCAAACTAGGCAGCCAATTTCATGATCACACAAATCACCACTGCCATTTTTAAATCAAAGAAATGTATGAGAATGTTCTATTAGAATGTAATTCTGCATATGAAGTGACAAAATCAGCTCCAACTTACAGAAGTCATAAATAGAAATGGTGATCTTCTAGGATAGCTTACTGTAAAATTTTCATACTAATTTGGACTGGTAATAAGACTTTGAAGTATGGTATCTAGGATATGACAAATAATGCAATTATTAAAGTTAAGTCCTAAAAACATGAAACCTATTGTGCATATTTTCCAGAGACCTGGAAAGGATAGAGATTCCAAATATAAACACACGGATGTTTCAACCCATGACGAATCTTTCTCACATGTATGTATGTATGAAAGAATGGAGAAGTAAGCATGGCAAAGTATTGCCAATATTCTAGTATAATCTGTCTAATGTATCACTGCAATGTGTTTGTATGCAAGAAAAGTTTTTTATTGAGAACTTTTTAATTTTGTCACCTTTGGTCCCTGTTCAAATAGAGTTCAATATAATGATGTGCCGACATGAATGACACTTCTCTCTGGAAACTCGCTGTTTATCCAATTGAGGCCCAATAAGAGATCAGGGTACCAGAATGCCACACATTACACAAGATGAAGTCCCTGGCTAAATGGTACTCAGGAGACCTGGAAACATTAATTCACCTCACATGAATGAGCAGTCGGCTGCTCTAAGATTTGAGCCCTTAGGAAGAAAGGTGCTATATAAATTCCAGGTGTTGTTACTGTTACTAAGTGCATTACAAAATGGAGGTAATTAATCTTTATAGTAGTTTTTGATGTCACTTTAATATATTTGGCTAAAGTACACTGTGTACATTGTGTTAATATATATGTTTATGACATGATTCATTTTTTTATCAACTGTGTAATCTATGTGTTCATGATTTCAAAAATTAACCCTTGTTATCCACAACAATAGGGAGGATTCGGTGTAAGATTACAAGTTGGGTGCGGCAAGTGGATGAAATGGTTGGTGTGAAGGTGCTTTTTTGGGAGAACATTTTGTTTAAGTCTGCAGTAGGTGTGATTACTAAAAGACAAGTACTTAATGCATATCCACATGGTTTTTCATAATTTCTCTTTCTGTGGCACCAGTAGATACTTACTTAATGAGGCTATCATTTCACTGTTGGGGGTAGAATATGAGGTCCTCTTAGAATAGAGAAATTCAACCTTTTTAGAACTTGATAGAGAAGGCGTCACTTAAAATATGAACCTTGGGTTGAGGTCAAGAAGGACCTAACAATTAACAGAAAATGTGTTAAGTTTGTTATTTCCCTACTAAGTGACCTAGTTATTCTTCACCTTCTTTGTCCATCATTTATTGAAATACGTCCACCTCATAACCCCCTGCCCTTCCACCTGCCAACCAGTGCCATGGTCAAAGCAAGAGGGGAGGTTGAATAACCAAGAGACCCAAGCTGGGTCCATCTGAAGACAGTGGACATAATGGAATCTTAAAGGAACAAAGAGGTTAAGTCAAGTGTGTGCCAAAGACTCCAGGCAAGGAGAAGATAAAAAGGCAATTATATATCAAGTTCCTTTAATTGGATAGATGATTTCAGGAAGCTAGACTGTCAGCTGCTTGAGAGCAAGGATTGCCCCCTATTTCTCTGCCTGACAAGCCCAGCACTAAATTCTCCATATTTCACTTACTCACCTAGGAAGTATTTGTTGAGTACTCCCCATGTGTCAGGCACTGTTCTAGATCAGAGAACCCCGGACAAACAGGAGACAGAAGTGTCTGCCCATGGAGCTTCCATTTAGCTTTGGGAAACAGAAAGTGAACAAATAAATTGTGAGAAAACACTGTGAAGAAAAATACAGCAAGATGAAAGGACACAAAGAGGGTACAGATGGTTCACATCAAAGAGAGAAGTGATGTCTGAGCAGACCTGAATGCAGAGAGGGACCAGGTCTGGCAATGTCTAGGGAAAGAATCTTCCAGGCAGAGGGAACAGCAAAAGCACTGCAGTGACAAGAGGGGTGAGCCTGGCTCCTTTGAGAATTGGAAGAAGGCCAATATGCCTGAATGGAATGAACAATGAAGGGAAGGTGAGGTGGGTCTGGGCAGCCAATCAATCGCAGGGACCTTGAGTCCACTGCAAAGTAAAGCTTCGTTTAAATTGCTAGTCTCAAAACTGAATGGGGAAATGGCAAAAAAGGATTAGACAAAGAGAAATGAACTACAAGAGATGGTACGAGAAAACAAAAATGGAATACATTTTATGGGGGCAGTGGGGGAAGCAAAAACACACAGGTTTGGGGAATGGCAATAAGCCAAATGAACTCCCAATTCAAACATTGCAAGCGTCCATACACCTAGATCCAAAACAAACCTATATTTGCCTCTAGAAATTGTGTAAGCCCTTTTAGGCCCTGGTATGAAATCTGCTTCTTCTAGCTCCCGTGAGACTGAGTTTTCCTAGTCTCAGAGACCCTCCCTTCCTGCCAGTGTCAGGGAAAAAGAGGCTGGTTAAGTGAGTATACTTAAAACAAAGTACAAGACAGAGATGTTTTCAGTGAGCTGCCATAGGTCCTTTACATCCCAAACCCAAGCCCCTGAATGTTTTCTGTGGATCAGTGTAACAAAGACAATTTCCTTTTTATAACACCCTAGAGAATCATCCAATGTGATGAGGAAAATGGAGTCCTGGAGACTTCACATTCTCATGTCCCCCCCGACTCATCTCAGTCAAGGCACGGAATTTCTATGTCCTTCAGGTTCTTCATCTTCCCAAGAAGCACACTGCCTAGAGTAACGTCCTATTTAATAAGGAATTCTATAATTGCATAATCACTACTACACAAAAATAAACAGACCTAATGAAGTTGTATACCTGACAGAGTGGCAGCTCTGATACAGGATGGCAACTGTAGTTTCTCTGTCATTGCTGTAAAGTGACTCTTTTTTTCCCTTTGAATTTAGTTATTTCACAAACTTTCGATACTGCTCCTATGCTCCCCATGTCCGCATATGTATGCCCTTGACTGACGGCATTTCTTCATTTGAGGACCTCTTGGCTAACAATATCCTCAGAATATTTGTGTGGGTTATAGCTTTCATAACCTGCTTTGGAAATCTTTTTGTCATTGGCATGAGATCTTTCATTAAAGCTGAAAATACGACTCACGCTACGTCCATCAAAATCCTTTGTTGTAAGTATGTTTCCTATTTAAATGGATTCAGGATGTCTTCTGTGACCTGTGCACGAGATACATATTGGCCTTCAACAATGGCACTTAATATAAATTATATGAGCTGAGCAGCTTTTTCTCTAAGTATGAAGTTACTGTTCTCTTTGGCTCTCTGTTTTCAATAGCATGAGTTTGCAGTGACCCAGCACCCACTGTGCGAGGTTATATCTTGGAAATGGGGTAACGGAGAGCCAGTGAATCAATCAATGGACAGATTATGGAGGACAGGTTGTGAATTATAAACTAAGCTCTGTTTAACGTTTGATGACAATAGCACCATGTTCCTCAAGCCCAGAAAACATTCTCTTTATTAACTATGCAAGTACCATTTGTTTGCTGTTCAAAAAGTAGCTTGCCCCACACAAATTACCACCCCCCACACAAACACTCCACCATTTTTTTTTTAATTATAAACCAAAGACCCAGTGTGGTACTTTAGAATTAGGAGAACTTTCCTGAAGTCCTTGTCCTTTAGAGACTGTTGTCAGTGTTTATATTAGTTCATTTAATACAAGATGGAGGAGGAAGACCGAATTAAAAAACCAAAACAGAGATGCTGGAAACTACCAACAGACACTGTATTGATTCTTTAACAGGTGCAGACTGCCTGATGGGTATTTATTTGTTCTTCATTGGCTTTTTTGATATAAAATACCGCGGGCAATATCAGAAGTATGCGCTGCTGTGGATGGAGAGTTTAGAATGCCGCCTCATGGGGTTCCTGGCCATGCTATCTACTGAAGTCTCCGTCCTGCTCCTGACATACTTGACTTTGGAGAAGTTCCTGGTCATTGTCTTTCCCTTCAGTAACATCCGTCCCGGAAAAGGGCAGACCTCAGTCATCCTCATTTGCATCTGGATTGTGGGATTTTTAATAGCTGTGATTCCATTTTGGAATGAAGATTATTTTGGAAACTTTTATGGAAAAAATGGCGTATGTTTCCCACTGTATTATGACCAAATGGAAGATATTGGAAGCAAAGGGTATTCTCTTGGAATTTTCCTAGGTAAATTATATTTCTCATTTTCTGGACCAACGTAATTCTGATAGAAATACCAGAAATTTTAGCAAAGGTGTTTTTGTCCGCTTCAGAGAGTAAATAGTTTTACTCCAGACTGGGTCCTTTTTGAAAGAAAAGTTCTTACTAAGTATTGATAGTTTTTATTAAACTTTTAACTATAGAGATTTAGTAGGGGAAACAAAAGCATACTGTCAAGATCTCTGGATGGTCTTTTATTATCTGTAAGACCCTTCGATTCTCACACTGTGACTCTGAGCTTTAGCACCTTGAACTGTGACCCCACCAAGTTATCTGAAATAATTTATTCTTACAATCTAGATATGAGTTATAAGTAAATAATAATAATAAAATTCTGGAAACTCATTGGCAGGAGATTATTGGAATGGAAATACCAAGAAGGTTTATTGTCTTTGGTAAATGCAGCTCTAAAGTCAACAATGTAAGAGTTCTGAATAAAATGGTTCACTTTTTTCTTAATTTTCTTAAGTTTTCTTAATTACCCCTAATTTTTAAAAGATCTTACTTCCTCTGTTAAAAAAAATGAATGGGAAGTTTAGCTCTTTAAGGTTAGAAAAAAGCATTTGTTATTGCCTAATAGGTATCCCTCCTGCTTAAAGACAATTTCTATGTCATTTTTTAACTAGGGGAGTATTATCATTTTAATTCCCTTTTTCTCATCTTTTCTACTCCTCTAAGTGGTCAATAAGCTCTATCATCCTTTCTTTTACATTGGATAATTTTTTCATCAAAATATGTCTCTGCCTTCTATTTCTTCTAGTCTGTACCTACTACCACCTTCATGTAAAACCTCACTACCTCAACCCCCAAGGGCTTATAAATAAGGTTTATTACATTAGCCCTTACTTGTCATTCTGCCTTGGAGGCTTTCTCTCTCCTGTTAACCTGTTCCCTACCTGAATATCAAAAAGACTGTTTGCCCTTCCAAGACCTTCAGTGACTTCCTGCTACTATCAAGGTCAATTGTCAATTAGTCACTTAAAACACATCACAAAATGGCTCTAACCACCAGTCCCAGCTCTTCATCTATTCCTTCTCTTCTTCTGAGAAATACACTTTCTTAGCACCACTTTAATAATACTCTTCACATACTACCTGTTCTATAGCTATTTTTTCATGGATATTGTAAGCTTTTCCTAGCATAGATGCACTTTGTAGATACACACACACACACACACACACACACACACACACACTACATTACATTCACTCATTCATCAAGGATTTATTAAGCACCTGCTATAGGCCAGGCACTACTTGGGGCACTGGAGATACAACAGATCAGCCCTCACAGACCACCACTAGAAAGGGGTATAAAGACAAGTAAACACAATCTTACATCACAGATTCACAAATGCTGTAAAAAAACAGTACTGGATGTTCTAGGAGCCTCAAATCCAAGCACCAAGGGAAGTTTTCCAGTAGAAATGAATTGAAATCCTTGGGCTCAAAGGATAAGGAGGTATTAGCTAAATGAAGTCTATTCCAGGAAAAAGATATAGTGGATGTAGAGGTCCATAACCAAGGAACAGGTCCAGATGAAGGGCCAAGGAGTTAGGTTTGGCTGGATCTTACAGTTAAAGGGTGTGAGATAGGCTAAAATGGGTGTAGCACTTGTGATGTATTCCAGATAGACAAAGAGATAGTAACTAGTAACACACACACACACACACACACACACACACGCACACACGCACACACGTATCTCATCATCTACATACACTTGGTTTACCTATGAGAGTAGGAGTCCTAGAGCCCTTTCTTCTCTTTAAAGAGTATAAGAATACACAGTTTTTAAATAAATTCATTATTTTAGAATAGAATTAGATTTAGAGAGAAGTTGCAAAGATAGTGTAGTTTCCTTATGCCCCTCGCCCAGTATCTTCTGTTGCTAACCTCTCACATCCCTATGTCGCTTTCAGAACACACACTTTTGGTCTGTTCACATCTGTTTTCATAATATGCATCAGGGGGTCATCTTAACAGTCATTTTCTATTGTTCTTAACTGAAGTTTCTGACAAGAGGCCCAACGTAAACCAATTTTATAAAATTCTATTGTATGCCTTTATTATGAGATTCTGTGGAATGTGAAATATTTTAGATAAAAACAATAGAACACTGAGAATTTATAGAACTTTCCTTTAGACTTCACCTGTCTTACATAGTCCAGATTCAGAAGAACATTTTTTTAAACAACTTTGAAATTGTGTGCATATTTTACGTTCAGAGTGAAGAATAAGATCATTAGTCTTGGGAGTTTTATTATAAAAAAAATATAACAAAAAGTGACTGAGAAGTCAACATTATAAGATAGTGATGTTCAGTGAGAATTGTCTAAACATATTTGACCCTAAAAAATTCATAGTTGAATTTATTATTTTTTCTTTATATATATTTTTTCTAAAACAAGTCTAAAGGATTCTGAATCTTAGCTTAAATTACTATAAGGTATCTGAAAAAAATGGATTTTTGTTCTATATATTATTTTTACTTAGGACCAAAAAAGCCATGAGAAGTAGTGTTTCTGTGGCTATTATCTTCTTGATATTCCAAGGTTATCTTGTTCATTATAAGATAAAGAAACGGAGTTATATTTATTCTTTGAGGTGTACATATGATTACAGTAATCCTTTAAGATTTGAATCTGCAGAGAGCAAAAAATGAAAATACCTTTTTTCTGACTTTAAAAAAGCTAAAATTCGCCTCATGATACACACCTAGATCTGAATTTCAGAGATCTGTAACTCTTCATAAAAGTTTTGTGTATTTCCAATATCTTTTTGATTTGGCAAACCCAATCCCATTAGCTTATAGGCTTAGATTCAAGGTTTTCAGCTGATTACAACTGGGCTTATACAAAAGAATGTTTCTTGGAAGTACAGCGTAAGAAGAGGCACCATAATGAACATCTGTGTAACACAGTATTTTACTGTTGATTTATACACCTGAGATGTTAAGAGCTGTGCTTTTTCCAACAGGTGTGAACTTGCTGGCTTTTCTCATCATTGTGTTTTCCTATACTATTATGTTCTGTTCCATTAAAAAAACTGCCTTGCAGACTTCAGAAGTGAGGAATCACATTGGAAGAGAGGTGGCTGTTGCAAATCGTTTCTTTTTTATAGTGTTCTCTGATGCCATCTGCTGGATTCCTGTATTTGTAATTAAAATTCTCTCCCTCTTCCGGGTGGAAATACCAGGTCAGTCCCTTCTATTATTCCCAAGTACATTGTGCCATCTTACATTCCCTGATGAGGTCAGAATACAGTGCCTGACGTATAGTAAATTCTCTATAAACAACTACAACTTTGGTGCAAACAGCTATTATTTTTCTCAACATTTTATAATCTAAGAAACTGGGTAGTGGTATAATCCAGACAAGAACGATGAGAAAACAGGAGCTAGGAAAAATAACTAACTCATTTCCCTAGATAGTGATTCTTAATCAAGAGTTAACATACAAAATCAAAATATACATGCCCAGGTTCCTCCCTGGGCTTCTAGATTTAATCTATAGGGGCAAAGGGCTGTACCCTTGGATTTTGGAAAAGTTCCCCTCATGCTTCTGAGACACACACCCCGGTTGAGAACTGCAGGTCTACTTCATGGTCCTTACCCTTTGGTTGTCGCACAAGCTGCAGAATGTCAGACGTTCTGTTCAAGTGCATCATCCAGAGGGCCAGGTTTCCCACCCACACGCCTACTTCAACCAGAGGAAAAAACCTTTCATGAGTTAGGATTTCATCTGAATCCCTTTCTAGGATCTAGAAATCACAGCCATGGAGAGCCCCCCACCCTGGGGCTTTGGCCCAACTTTGTGAAATAAACTTTCTACTTGGGGGAATCCATCCCAAGGGGCAGGAATTGGGTCTTATTCATCCTGGCACCCCAGTGTTACACATGGGTTGGCACTTCAGAAGCACTTACAAAAGTATGATGAATGTACAAGTAACCAACAGCTGGAAGAGTTTATGTCCCTCCAGCTTGTGCAGAGTCACGGGAGGCCTTGTCGTTGTCTCACTGCAAAATGACACAACATCCACAACTCCCCCTTCACCTGTCCATTTAGCCTGACCGCAAGGCAGAGGCATCCCTGAAGCCATGTAAGGTGTGAATGTGCAGGTCAAGAGAGCAATTGGGGCTGACTACTTGATAACCTCCACTGGGCAGGGAGAGCAGAGGACACAAGAATTTGTGTGCCATTACTTGGGGGTGGGGGAGAACCTGGTGGCTGGGAGGAGCAGAGTTCATTAAGACGAGAGCTGAATTGTCCAGTCTGAATTGTCCGGTCTACTACAGCTTCCTGGGCATCTCAATGTTTATATCCTTACATTCCAAATTTAACAGGACTAAAATGTCCTTTGGCCTCCATTGCTCATAGAATAAAGTCCAAATGCTGGGATCAGCATGAGAAATGTTACCTCCCACTCTGCCCTCAGGTATTCTGTGATCCAGGACCCATCAGAATTATTGGGATTCTTTTCTTCGGCACCTTTTTAATGCCTTGCCTTCACTGAAGTTGTTCTCTCCACCTGTGTTGTATATTCAATCTGTAAGAATTAAGCTTACTAAATAGCCCTTCTCATCCTTCAAAATTCAACCCAAATACTCACTCACCCATGGTACCATACCATACCTCTCTCCGACCCACTCCCATCCAACTCAATTGCTTAAATGTCTGTAACATTTTGTTCATACTTTATTTATTAGCCTCATCTGAACCACTTCTTACCAGTGTTATTCTTTAATATGTTCATTGCTCCCCTCAGTTTATAAGCTTCAGAATATTAGGGACCATGTCTTATTGATCTTTCCACAGTGTTTTTCACATAATGTTATTTAATAAATGCATTTTCAACAAAAGATGCTGAGCTGGTCCAAGAATGATGGAACAGGGTGGGAAATGGATGATCTCATCAACCTCCCCAGCTTCTCTTTCCATGCTTTTGATGTCCTTCTTCACCTCAGGCACTTGATTTTCTTGGATGTGGGAGGAGGCAGCCTTGTGTGGTGGAAGAAGGACCAAGCGAGGCAGGAGTCCTAGGTTTCTGTCCTAACCCCGCCACTGCGCAGCTGAGGAAATGTAGGGAGGTCACCTCACCTCACTGAGATGATTTTCATAAGGCCTCTCGAATTCCTTCCAGTTTTCATATTCTGTGAGTCTGTCAGCTCCATGAGGCTCTTCTCTCTGTATTACTCTGCTCGGGCTGCCATAACACAGTAACACAACCTGGGTGGCTTAAGCAACAGAATTTATTTTTCACAGTTCTGGAGGGCTGGAATTCCAGAATAAAGTGTCAACAGATTTCTGCTGTGGCCTCTCTCCTTGGCTTGCAGATGGCCACTTTCTCACTGTGTCCTCACATGGTTTTTCCTCTGTGCGTGTTCCCATTGTATCTCTCATATAGGAAAGTTTCCCTCTTCTTATAAGCACACCTGTCAAATGGACTAAGGCCCACCCCAATGTCCTTATTTTAACGTAATGACATCTTTAAAGGGCTGTCACATATAGTCACATTCTGAGGTCCTGGGGGTTAGGACTTCAATGTATGAATTTGGGGTGGGGGACAAAATTCAGCCCATAACACTGTCTGATTTAGAATCAGGAGATGTCTGGTGATCCAGGGTACCAGAGAGCTACAGGAGTAGTCATTGTCCTTGAAAGCTTATGACATTTCAGATCATAATGGGAAAATGGAATAGGAAAAAAAGTGTCTTATGAAATCCTTAATGGGCCATACACCAGTCTTTCTCTATGTTTGTAGCACAATATTTTGAGGTTTGTCTTGAATACATCAGTGGACCTAGGAGAGTAGCCCTGATCATTTTTTACTAAGCCCCTTCTTGTTTGCCTGACTTCCCATATGTTGTAGGAAATGCTGCACTCACTGAACTAAACCCATCTTGTGCCCACCCTCCACAAACTCTGGGGTGTGCTCCACCATGGCATGTCACTGATAGTATGTGTGATTAGCCTGAAAGATAAGGCAGCATTAGCCCTCCTTTCTCAGAACTCACCTGCTGACCTTATAAAGTGAGTTACCCTGAGACTGAATGGGAAGTCTCGTTCCTGGTCACAATTTCATTTGGGGATGTAACAGACAAAAAGCAACTTAATTTGTTCTGTTTTGCTTTGTTGTTGTTTTTTTTTTCAATCATGCACTGTCCATATTGTCTAATTTTTTTTAAAAATAAATACAAGTGATATAGTAATATGAAACTTTAATAAATCTAAGATATGCTAAATATAGATATTTTTCTTCCATATTCTTTCCAGTTCAAAAAAATAAATAAGGACGAGAAAGAGAAGATGGGATAGGAAAAGAGGAAGGCAAACAGAAAAAAGGAGAAGGGAGAGATAGCAGGAGAGGAGGAAAGAGAGGAGGAAAGGTCAGATAAGCAGTCAGGAAAAATAGAAAAGAAAGAGAAGAACAGAAAAGATGGAAGGAACAAAACAAGGCAAAGAAGAACAAGTAATGGTGTTTAAAGGATAAGAAAATTGTGAGGGTGGGGAGGAAAGAGAAGGTGACAAAGGGGGTGGGACAGGGAATATATCCTTGGTCTTAGGATTCAGCTCTTCATCTGAGCTGGGAGTTCTCTGCATCTTTGGAGACGTGGAAAGAGGCAGCATAGTGTGGTGGGGTCAGAGGATCACAGGTATTAGTGCTGAAGAGGGACGTCAGCAGAGCCGCCGACTCTGACCCAGCCCCCTGACTTCGATCAAGTAAGTTATCATCAGCCCCTTTCACAGATAGGGTAGTTGAGGTCCAGGCAGCTTAGGTGATTTGCCCATAGTCCCATAGCTAAGTGTCTGGCCCTAAGAGCAGGCTGTGCATAAAGGGGAAAACACACTTCATCCTAACCAAGTGCATGATGTATTTGGAAAGGACACTACCATCACAAATTTCTCCTCACAAAGGACTTTTTGTGGCATCTTTCCCTTAATATTCTAACTAGTATCTCTAATGCTTCATATGATAGGATTGATTAAGTTGGAAGATGTATTCTTGTTTGCTCTTCACAACTTCAGCCTCCACTCTGGATAGGATGGTTGGAATAGGGGGTGGGCAATAAGGCTTTCAAGAGTGGAGTTAAGACCAAGGTCAGATATGACACTGGACCAGATGTTTTCTCAACACTGACGTATTGATTAAGAAGTATTTCTTCATTTTCTTACTTTTCTATCAAGAAAACAAGAAAAATAAATTACATATCAACTTACATCTATGAAGTGTTTTTTACATACTTCCTCTCATTTAACCTTACAACAAACTACCAAATAGTTACTGAAATTCAGAATGGTAGGACATTGGATTCATAGTTCCTATGCTCCTCCAACAGAGAGATTTTCAATAAGGTGAAAGAAAATTTGAGTGAACTAGGTAGCCCTCCCCAAATAGTACTGACCACAAAATGTTATGTGTTATTTGTGTTGTTTAAAACTTCCACTTCATGAAATTTTCCACACTTCATTTCCTTCTCCAGGCACAATCATCTCTTGGATAGTCATTTTTTTCCTTCCAGTAAACAGTGCCTTGAATCCAATCCTCTACACTCTCACAACCAGCTTTTTCAAGGACAAGTTGAAACAGCTGCTGCACAAACATCAGAGGAAATCGATTTTCAAAACCAAAAAAAAGAGTCTCTCTACATCCATTGTGTGGACAGATGACTCCTCTTCACTTAAACTTGGGGTTTTGAACAAAATAACCCTTGGGGATGGTACAGTGAAACCAATTTCCTAGTAATGGTTTCGGATCCCTGGACTTTCAGTGGACTATCTTTAAGAAAAGTACAGTGTTTGGAAGATGACATCTGCAATGCTTTTCATCTCCACCAACACCAAACCTTTCTACACAGAGAGCACAGCAGAATGACTTCTGGCATGCACCACATTCCAGTGGCAGCTGTACTATTTATCAACAGTGCCGAGAACTGTACGTATAGGTTCTTCTCACCCTTATGTTCCTGACATGCACTAGGGAATCTGTATATAGTAGGATGATGTACAGTTGATCTACAGCTAGTCAACATGACCAACCTACCAGTGAACACCCACATGTTGGCACTGCATAGACTGCTTATAAGTTGAGTTGCACTGTCCACAAAATAAAAAGATTCAGGACATCTAATTCCAGTGTGACCATAATACCATAAGCTTAGCATCTCTTTCCTTGTTTTTTCAATGTTAAATGAAATCATCAGCATCCTGCTGTACTGATGGAAAAGGATTTCTGAGATGTTCACCTGCCTCAAGCCTGGCCCTCCAGAGGCCAGAGGAGTAGAAACTTTGAAAGAAGATCTTCACACAAGGCTATCGCATCCAGTGGAGAAGCAGAAAGACACACTGATTAAACCTAGTACCGTTTGCCTTCTTGGATATTATTTAATGTTGGTAGAGCTGAGATCTCAAACAAGATATTTTTCTTCAGTTTGCCCAAGCCACAAAGAAAAATGGGGCACCTGAACTGCCAAAGCTATATTTTAATAACTTTCAGGTCTAATTTCCTTACAGCAGTATCCCTATTGCTAGAAAGTTCTGCCTCCACAGAACCCACTGATGAGCGATATTAAAGGGGATTTAAGAATAGTGATTTGATTGGGACCATTTGCATACTCAGAGAAATTCCCATTCTTTTTAACAAAAAGGCCAGTAAGTTTAGATTTGATTTTTGAGGATGAAAAGTAATGGTAAAGACCTGGACATGTTGTTATCATGAAAGTTTATATGTGAAAAAAAATCGGGTAAATAAAGTAAAATTTGGCATTTTTCCACATATTATTTTATGTTTAACAAAGTCTATATTAGCTGTTACCATGTTTCTCCTGACAGAGAATATAGCTAGGAAACACAACACCTTAGTTAATAAGACATATCTTAGATTTTTCTCTTCCCCCTTTTTCCAAAGCATGAGGCAATAACTGAATGTCTTCATTGTTGGCTTCATTCTGAGTGCCTTTAATGAGTGGGATATAAGCAGCTGACTGAGAACTCCTGATTACCTCCTATTATGGGGATCCAGTAGCTTCCAAGAAAGAACCTTAGAGTTCATATGTCACAGCAGTTCTGGTAATTTACCTGTTATTGCTTAATAGTGACTAAAAGAACCATTATGTTTTGATCAAGTGAAATATTTTTTTGCATCAGTGAAATCTTTCCATTAGGATTCTATAAATAATTTTCCTCTCCATTAAGTAGGCTGTCTTTTTCCCTTATGGTTTCAAACTTTCCTCCATCTTGACTTTTCACTACAGTGAGTTACTTCCCAGCTTCTTTTCTTTATTTGCTGACATTTTATTAAATGTCATTTGCCAGTCCTTGATCATCAAATGATTTGTTTCCTAATACATTTCCCAACATCAGGAACATAAATAAGAAATAGACCCTGAGCCCAGAGTATTTTGATCTTAGTGTTTCCCATTCTTGAAAAGCATCAGGCATGGCCCATGCACCAAGCATCTGGGAACTGTGTTTGTGAATGTCTGCACTCTCACTGTTAAGTAACAGACATGAAAAGCACAAGATCAGGTATGTTAGGGAAGTTGGCAGCATATTTCACAGAAAAATTGAAGCTCTATACTAGTCAGTTGTGAGCCAACAGATAGTATAAAACTGAATACTAATGGGTTAATGATCTACACTCTTATTCCGTACTGTTAAATGAATAGAAACCTGTAAGAAATATGTTTGATTTTAGCAAATAAGTCTTTTATCTGGATTGGGTAAGGTCTTTTGCATTGGGTTACACTTGTTTTCTAAACCTGGTATTTCTGGATAGTTATGAAAATACCCACCTCTGTTTTTGAACCACTTCCCATGACAATACAAACAGCAAGTAAACATGACTTGAGAATATAGGAGGCCATAGACTGTGCCATCTCTCAGTGGGAAAAAATGGGGGAAAACTATCCAATCCACATTCCCACCATGTTTCTATGTATTACTGATATCTGGTCTTGAAATAAAGATACTCTAAAAAATCGATATGGAGTCTCAAATGAGTATACAAAAAGAGGGTACATGGTTTATCTGTGTTAGACCTAACTAAGCTTAGTTACATCACTTTGTTTTGTTCTTAAGGTTTATTTGTACTCAAAATTAGAATTTATGCCCACTGCAGTTGCTGAAAGAGGCCTTGATGATGAGGGAATTTAAGTGGGATTACACATACCTGAGCTTTAGCTCCCAGGTGGCAGTATACCATCCCGCTACCCCGCCATGCACTACAGCTCTGCAGTCCCAACCACCTAGTCTCTATAGTATATCATGGGTCCACAAATGCAGGTCCATCACCCTGATGTTTGTCTCTTAAGGGGAATCTGGTACCAGATCAAGTCAGTATTGGGTAATTTGCTACATATATACTTATGCTACGTTGTCAAGAATTTATCTCACCCAATGTGATCCTTCACTCCAGTTTGTAAGCAAAGCAAAGATTCAAAGAACGCGTATGATAAAAATGAAAAATGGTAAATTGTCACCAATCACATGTTCCCCATCATTTTATAAATGCTCCAGGAGAGGTCTGAAGGAAATGGATCTTCCAAAATTAACAAGGAATACATGTAAGACATATTTCTCTTTAATTTTTCCAATGTAGCATCAACGGGCATATGGTCCTATTTAACAAATAGACTTGGGCAATTTTACTCAAGAAACAAAGCATTGTAGATAAATATTTGTATTTTTTTATATCCTGAATAAGGAAAAGAAAGACTGATTACAAAGATTTCTCCTTATATATATCTGATTATATGTCAATTATCTGATATCCTGTTTCTGAAAGATGGAAGATACATATTTAATAAAGAAAATGTTTATTTCTGAGCCAGTAATATAAAATGTAATTAGAGTATTTTTTTAAATGGCTTTGTAGTAGGAGAACTCAAAGTCCTTGAGGAAAACTTTTTAAAGCCCTGTAAGCTGATTAAAACCTATTACTCAATGTATGTCTTTGGAATAGTCTTCAGTCTACATGACACATATGGAAGAAATCAGTTACAAATAAAGATATAGACAATAATAAGGCTAAATGACAAAATTACAGATCCAAGAATGGGTGCCTTATGGCATCTGAACAGCCCAGCTCCAGTTCACGATGAAGCCACTTACCTCTAGGACTTGAACAAGCATAACTACTTTGAGTTATAAAGTCACAACTAGTTTAGATACTAGAAGAAAGTATTTCTGGACTGTCTGGGAACCCATTAAACGTTCATCTGTTTACTGATTCTCTAAATTCATGGTGCTAGGGGATTTGATTCAGTAACGATTTTGTAGTGGAAACTGTATACTTTCCTGCTACAGACAATACACCTTCAGGGCAAAGAAATACAGAGTCAAAGTCAGGGTCTAGTGCCATAGTTGTAGTCAGTCATCAACTACTTATAACACCTTAGACAAATACCTTTAAATCTCTTCTATTCTTTATGATTGAGTTTTCTTAAGATCATATCACATAAATTGATATCCTGTCCCATTTCTGGGAATATCTATAATGTGGATTAAACCACTTACTGAAGGTCCATGTGGCTTAAAAATCCAGAAGTTTACATAAAGTTCAAGGATCATCTAATTCTCAGTTTCCCTGGGATAATACATTGCACAGGTCACCAATGTTCAGAAATCAATTTCTTCCAGGAGGCTTACAGGACCTATTCTATTTTGGAAAGAATTCTGAGATGAAGTCTCAGACAATGAGGCTTTCCTAAGATGTGGAAGATTACAAGAGTATAGCAATAAGTACAACTCAAAAATTAGGTGACTTCTTGTTAGCAAAATCTAGGAATACAAACAGTGGTATAATTAACAAGCAACCATTTTAATTAACTACAAATCATAAACGGGTCTCTTTGCCTAAGTGATTAATAGGTCTACTACCACCTACATTATCCTGGAAAACACAAATGCACAGGCAAGTTAAACACTTATGACTAAGTATATTCTTGGGGGAAATGCTTTTAGGGTAAAGACACAACATATCTAATTTCCCTCATAGGATACAACTAGGATACAACAGGTGGTCCTTGACCCAGAATTGATGATCTCTGCCTCAAACCTTGCTCTATCAGCCACAAACTCCCTCCCCTGTACCACTAACCTTGCTTCTCTGCTGGCCCTTTCTGCTCAGCTCACAATGCTCCAATTTCTCATATCTAAGAAGACAATCCTGCCATCCAACACCCTGCTTTAGCATCTGCCTATTCTCACCTTCTCTTTATAGCTAAACATTTAGAAAGGATGATAAACTCTCTGTCATCAGTGTTTTGACTTCTCAACAAGCAAATGCCTCCACCTTCACCACTCCACAGAGGCTCCCCTCCCTGAGATCTTCATGATAACAACTCCACTGACAGTTTCCTTTCTTTAACTATTTCATTTCTCTGAAGAATTTCTCATTGATGGCCACCTCCTCCTTTAAACGCCTCTCTTGGAATGAAGGACACCACTCTCCTGTTCTACACTACTTTGCTAGCTCTTCCTTCTAACACTTTTATGAGTTTCCTCTTCCTCCACCTGTCCCATAAATGTATAAATAAGTTTCTGGGGACCCTGTTCTTTACCCTCCATAAGTCCCTCCCAGGCTTCAACCTCTCTATAGCCATCATAGCTAAGTAAATTAATTTTTGAAACTCACTTAAAATAATTATAAATATAAGGAGCTTATTTTGATAGCTCTTATTAAATCTTGACATTTGTTTTTAATGTCTACTATCATACAAACTTGTCGAAATTTCTAACTTC